TTCGCGGGACCGACGCGTGATCGCGGGCGACGGGGCGGATATTTATTTTATTTTTTTTATTTTTTTTTTCAATAATTCTATAGGAGGGGCGACGGCGCGCATACAGACGAAATAATAATTGGGAAACCTGGTGCGACCGGGCGACAGAGCTCTGCCGCTGTCCAATAGGTCAGATTTTCGCTTCCGCGATCATTTTCTATCGTTTCAACACGCGTTCTCGCGTCCTCCTCACCTCCCCCCCCCGGACCGGTGTTTGCGAAACAAAATCGCACGGAATTCACACTCTCGCCGGACTCGGGGCCGTGTGCTGGGCGCAAAGCCGTTCCCGCTCGACGCAATCGATTCGCCTACCCCGCTATCCTCCCATGTACGTTTTAGAATTCCTTCTCGTTCAACACGTTATTCCAACGCGGTCTGCCGCATTCCCGGAGCCGCCCGCGTCCTGCCGACCAAACGAACCCCGTCCGGACGCCCGAAATGACGTACGCCAATGCCGGCCCCACATCCTCGGATTTGTACGCTTCATGAATATTCCGTGTCCCGCGCGCAGTTACAGTCGTTCGTTGTTTTTAGTTTATTGCCATAACTAATGCGATTTACAAACGGCCATTGACGCCGCGATTTGATTGTCCTCCGCCAATCGCGACGTATGCTGTGTTTAATTAAATCAATTCACTTGCACGTAAAGAGTAAATCCCGTACATGATTATAGAATATAACCGAAAACCACAATACAATGACTTACCAGACTAATTTACAACTAAATAATTTCCGGGGAAAAAAAAAATAATAATAATAATAATTATAAATAATACAATGACGTAATGGATTTTGAGCACGACGGGCGAACGTCGCAAGTATTTAAACTCCCGAAAAATGTATCCTTGACACTGTAACGCCACGTGCACGTATACAAAGTCCTATCGTCCTAGCTTCATCTCGGGGACCGTGCAGGGGTGTTTAAAGCCCGAAAACCACTCTCTGTTCCGATACGATAACGGACCGAAAACTCAACGGTACAAGGTAAGGTTTTTATCGCGTGGTTGTCGTTTTCCAGCCACTGCCGCCCCGAAGAGATTTAAATTTATAGTCTTCCCGTAGAAAAAAATAAAAAAAAGCGTTCACTCGAACGAATCGTTTTTTCACGTTTTTTTTTTTTTTGTTTTTCTAACTCGCTTTACGCCGACGGTTTTTTATTTATATCTTGTAATTGTTTTTGTTTATTCGCCGCGGTAGGCGGCCGCTGGTATATTATAGTGATTTTAGATTCTGAGAGACTTATGGTTTTACAATGATGTTTATTTTTTTTTTCTCTATGAACAACTTTTCTACCAGAAGTATTGCTTCGATTTAAAAGTGTAGCACTTTTTCCGATTTTCCCAATAAACGGGAACACGTTTATTACGGGAGAACGGGGAAACAGGTACAATATTTTAAATTAGTATTATCATTAAGATACCGTTTAATGCCAATGCTCGTTTAATTAATTTACCGTAATACGGCGCACACGCTGTCGGCAAAGCGACACTGTCAACTGCGAACTCCGCTCAGAATCGTTTTTTCGTTAGCCACAACGGTGCTTACAGATATATATATATATACACACACGCGCATCAGATCCGCACCGTCTGTATCCTACCCGGCCGGCAAACACAGTGGCCTTGCCCGACCCCGTCATCCCGTAGGACCGGCTATTATTTCCGTTGCACGCGGCCGCGGAGATTATTACGACAATCGCGACCGCGCACGCGAATTTCGCGCGATATCTTGCGAAATCCGCAATTTTCCCCCAGTGCACGCCATACGGTACGTACGTAACGTCACGTCACGTCGAGCGCCCGGTCGTTTTTCCGGCGGGCGCGCGCGCGCGTCGGCGCGGGGGGGGGGGTGTGGAGGAGGGAGTGCGCGGCGCGTATGATGTTACACGCGTTTTGACCGAGTGGCGCGCGGACCCATCGGAGCGCGACGGCGATAAAACCGTCCGCGTACTCCCAGCGGAGTCCTTCGCCGATCAGCAACGTGTTACGATATTGTATTACGGGCCCGCGCACAATAATCCGCGTATGCTGAGCCCCGTTACGAACGACGCCGCGCGATATTCAACAACGACGCGTGGCCGTACAGCACGCAACGCCGCGTAGACAGTGTTACACGCGCACGCGTCTTCGGCCCCCGGACAACATGCGGTGCTCGGGGGGTGCGGGTCGTCTTTTCGTTCGGCCCAATGTAAATTTGTCTTCGGCAATTTCGTTCCGTTTTTATTTTCGATACGCGCGACCGGGGGGGGGAAATCCGCAGGCACCCGATTGACCGCGCCGGTCGTGACCCGGAAAACGAACACGGACGGAACCGATAACGGGGCCGCGGTGTTCGTGGTTTTGAAAATCAAAAACACCGGAGTACTTCGCACACGGTAATAACAGACGTAGAGGGGAATTCAATGTGTATCCGCTGTGAGCAACGACAAACCGTTGCTTACTAAAAACGATTCTGAGCGGAATTCAGTAGACACTTGATAGTGTTGCGCTTTATCGACGACATATGTGCCACATTATGGTAAAATAATCGAATAGGCGTTGTACATTTTCTTTAATTATATTTGTTTAATGTACCAATTATCCCGTTTTTTCTACGTATTTTCCCATCGGTTGATAAAAATCCTGGGAAAATCCAAAAACGACCGCTGAAAAGTGCCTCCCCAGTCAGATTTCCTTGCGGAAAATGTGCTGTTATTAGGTCATTTTTACCGATCGCCAGTACCGCCAATTACGCGCACCCGTATGTAGTCATCTATATCGCAGTAAAAAAGCTTCCCTGTCAGGCGCGCGCCGAGCCGACATCAAAAATAGACGGTGTCGCGCCGGGAAGTCTGCGTGCACGTCAAGTGAACAGGAAGCGGTAATTTTCCGTTCTTCTCTAACGCGCGCGCAGTGATCGATGTCCCACCACTTATTATCATAGTCTACATTTTCCATCCGTCCACTTATTTTGTCCAAAATAATGCATCCCCTTTAAATTACACAAAGACAAGCGCGTATATCGAAAATTAATAGGTGTATAATTTATTTAAATAAATCTAATATTTTTTTTACAAATATTGATAATATTTGTTATATTGATTATTGTACGTTTGTTTATGAAACCACCCCACCCCCCGAGATTTTTTTTGGTTTTTTGCACGTGCCTGTACTAAGATTATCGATCTATACCGGTGTTTTCATATCATAACAGTGTCATAACATGTCATTACAGTATACAGACTACTGTATAGTATTGGCTAACGTATGAACAGTTTAGGTTTTTTCATTTGTTTTTATACCTAATGATGAATATAATGCACACTGCTAGAACCTATAACGATAAACTTCGTGTGCATAAACTATGCACTTACGTAAACATGTTTTACGTTTTAAATAAAAACATAATTATATGTACGTAAAAATGTACACACGTCAACGAATAAGACAACACCAAACTGAAAAACAAAAACGTATACCGTATACGCACAATCGTATTACAAATATGAGATACGGAGCCGCGCTGGGGGGGGTTCAACTCGTTTCCGCCCTCCAATCACCCCCGCGTGTATAGGCCGTAATATAAGAACAGTCCAGGCATCCCTCCGCTTATTTTCAGCCGCTTCGACCACTGTACAGTGTGCATGGGCGACGTGGGAATTTAAACGTGTCCTATTTCCACCGTGCCGATCGGTCCAGTGCTGCGGTAAGAACTCCGAGCGGACGCGAAATCGGCTTTCCCGCTTTTTCGATTCCGTACCCATAAATCGTAGAAAGTAGAAAAAAAAAAAAAAGAGAAAAAAAAAAAAGAGGAAGAGTAGTTGAAATAGAATTGAACATTTTAACAGAGAAGGCGGTCAAGTCGAGCGCTGCGGACTCGTCGACGAGTTCGAATCCGTTTTCAGAATTATTCTCACATCCGCTTCGCTTACGGACCGATCGGTACGGGCACGTATAGCAAAGACAATGACAGAAAAACCGCCACTTTTTGCGCCCCGAACGTCGCGCGCGCGTGTGTGCGGGGGGGAGAGGGGGAAGGGGAATAAATCGGGGGCGACGAAATCCGGGCCGGTCGAACAATGACCGCGTGCGCACCGCCGCCGCCGTAAATTCACAGGGTGTTATCATTCTGCGGTGCGACGCGCACGCGGACGAGTACGACACCTCCGCGGCACGACGGCCGACCGATCCGACCGGCCGATAACCGATCCGGCCGGAAGCGCGTGCCGCACCCTTTCCGCAGGGGCCGGAGATCCCAATCGGCCGGCCGCGTGGTCCGTCACCGCGCATCGACGGCCGGCCGCTCCCTGCGCACGACGGACGGCGACGGGGGGACTGTTTTGTTTCGTTTCGTTTGCCCCCCCCCCTTCCCACACCACCCCGGCCGATATTGCGATAATAAGTGCACGTCACGTACGACGTTATACGATCGCGATAATCGTTTCGTGTTTACCGTATCATATTGTCACGGTCGGTCCTTGCATTGCCAACGGACGAATTCGGTCATTTTTTTTCCGATACGAATTTCGTCGAAAACCGTGAAAATAACGGCATTTCGGAAAACAATGCGCAACCGAATGCTTTGTTCGGTACCGTACGTTTCGTTAGCGGCAGTTTTGTCGTTGGGTGCATATTAAATGACTCCCGCGCACGCTCTACATTCCCGACATTCCACGTACCCGTTGGGTGCACGCCCGTACCCCGCGGTATTCCGTAACTCGACAAGCTGTTACCGGCAAACAATGTCGTTAACAGAGTACTTAACGAATTGCGCGGCGCGCGTAGAACTTCCCAAACGAATTCGAGAACCTATCAGTAGGCGGTCACTAATGTTTCGGTACATAACGCCAGATGGTAACACGACAAATGGATACCGCGTCGTCGACGACCCCGGTAAACCGGTAAACGAGTTACGGAACCTGGTGGCGAGAATCTTTCGTTTTTGCGTAAAAAACGAAAAAAAAAAAAAAAAAAAACAATTGACGCCAACGGCACGTAGTGTTCGACCAAGCGGTCACCCGTCCGGGTGTACCGACTACGCCCGACGTTGTTTGACTTCAGTGATCGGACGGGAACTGGTGTATTCAACGTGGTATGGTCGTTGGCGTCAAACTTAATCGGTATCAAGTAATTTAAACGTTCACTCACTTATGCCAATCCGTTTGTTCCTCGTTCAAAAGTTTCACTCATCCGATGGGACGTCGAATTGATAGTCGAGAAACACCGTTTTCGTTAAAACGCAAAATACACGATCGCGTGAACTTGGAACAATATTACAATATTAAAACGATTAATCGACAATCGATGTCAACGGCCGGTAAACCTGATAATATATATTGTATTATAATTTGCAAAACTTATAATTATGTATACAATTAACAAACGCGGAACGGAACACACGGATCGACAACGCGTTTGAAACCGAAATAATGGCCAAATGGTGATAACACATTATCATCAAAAATTAGAATAACGGCGTTTCCATCGTCCTAGCAGCTAGACTCTGGCCGCAGTGCCGTCAGATCGGTCGATTTCTCGCCCGAACGGGCTACCCCAGAGGTCCAGATATCGTCCGAAATCATGTATTGGCGTGAATACGCCAACGGGGCTACTGTTCAATTGTAAACGGGCGGTTTTCGCCGCCCATTTAGAACGTCATAATACGCTTTATTTATTATGTATAGAAATTCAAAAAAATGTCCGGATTGAAAAAAAATTAAATTTATTTAGCTTTTATCACCGATACAGAATTATCGTCGTATAATTAATATTACGGTTGCAGTCACGGTCGTAGATATACCTGCCTTATAGACCGTGTTTCTTGATAAAACACCGTCAAATACGAGCGTCTAGAGACAGCCACAACGAGCACATTTCTTATCGGTTACAATTGTAATATTGCACATCAAACAACCTGATATTATGGATGAGAAAATGTTATTAACATGAATATACAAAACCACAGAACATGGCCAATACTCATTATACAAACATACAAACAAAAAAAAATAATAATAATAATAATAATAATAACAATAAAATAAAATGTAGTTTGAAATAAATAAAAAAATATCGTCTTCGAAATAATAATAATAATAAGTATATAAACCATATGCACGGTCAAACTTCGCATCAATATGGACATATGGAGGAGGCCCTTCTTATTCGTTCAAATCGTCTATTATTACTTTTCTTACGTTTAATGTTGGTTTATTTAATCGTTGTTCTTCTGGTGCTGTTAAACGAAGTTTTTTAGTTGAAAAAAATCTCTACTGTCTTTTAACCTTTTTTTATTGGCCGGTTCTTGACTTGCGTTTTCGTTTAACGAAACAGGAACATTATATTCTTGTTCTGACAGCATTTTTAAATTTGAATCTAAGAACAAATTAATTTTTTGTAGCTGTTTATCACTTAGTTTACCGGTATAATCATTTTTAACATCCGTATCATAACATGTACATGAAAATAAATGTACACAAACATTACATGCAACACAAATAAATAATTGAACACTCATATGATTCACGTTTTTTTAACTAAATATGATTGATTTAACGTTTCATATACCACAGTCCAAGTAATACCTGACGTTTTATTAATTTTAGATCTATAAATTTTGACTGCAGAAAAACGACAACTGTTAATAGCATTAACATAATGTGTTACTTTTCCACCGTTGCACAACTTCACAAGTCGCTCAACATTTTTGTCCCTCATAGTTTTCAGCCAATTCCAGAGAAGTGTGTCTTGACGTTGACTTTTTTTCCCCCATCTAAATATACATATTTCAATGTTTTATAGAACGCTTCTAATACCATGTTAGTGTTTAGCATAGCTTCATGTCTGTTACATGCAGCTCATGACTCTTTCCGGTAAACACAATGACTCACAAAATACGCTTTAAAGATATGTAAAGTTGATTCTACTTCTAATTTTTCTAGAAGTAAGTTAAGAAGTTTTTCAAACTGTGTTACATCAGGTTTCTCCAGTCGAACACATAGTGTTATAAATTATAATCTTCGACCATTTGTGTTCCAGCAATTTTCTTTAAATTCTTTTGTCAATAATTATTATTATTAATATGCCATTTACATAATAAATGTAATTTTGGAGTAGGGAACATTGCCTTGGGCCATGAATTTCAAAATTCCGGAGTAATCATTCATAAATCCACTTGGTACAAATCAACCAACCACCTCCTTAATTTTTGAAAAAAAAAAATCATGTGGACCTCATCAATATTTGTACTTAAACAAAAAGAAGCGGGATATCCTTTACCAAATTCATCAATTACTATAATATTGATGTTAGGTTAAAATTATATTGATTGATGGCATAAGTAGACAATACACAATTTTCCAGTTCTAAATTTTTTAAGAATTTCTTGTTGTTTCACTACACATGTTACACTGGTTTGATCTTTTCCCGCTATGAATTCTTTTGTAAATTTTTAAAGTGTATTTGTAAGAAATACAAATCGGCAGACACACATTAAATTCTTAAGGCTTTTTTCCAATATGAGTTAATTTATGTACATTTAAACGGTCCTTTCTTGAAAATGACTTCTTACAAAAATTACATTTAAAAAGATTATCATCTGTATGAGTTCTTTCATGGTACTTTAAAGTACTTTTAAGAGCAAATGTCTTATTGCATATGCCACATTTATAAGGTCTTTCCTTAGTATGGATTTTCTTATGGATTTTTAAATTGCTTGACTGAGTAAATGTCTTATTACATGTGTCACATTCATAGGGTCTCTCTTTAGTGTGAGTTCGTTCATGAATCTTTAAAGTGTATTTTTTAAAAAATGATTTATTACATACACCACAATTATACAATTTTTCTCCCGTATGAATTTTAATATGGGTTTTTAAATTACCTAATCGAGTAAAAGTATTACTACACTTTTCGCATTCATAAAGGCTTTTTCCCGTATGAATTTGTTTATGTCTCTTTAAATTCTGTTTTAAAGAAAATTTCTTCCCACATACACTACACTCGTTTGATTTTCCTACAGTATGGACTTTCTCGTGGTTTTTTAAATTGCTTAACTGAGCAAATTTCTTATTACATGTACCACATTCATATGGTTTTTCATTAGAATGTAATATTTCATGAATCTTTAAATTGCTTTTTAGAGCAAATGTCTTCTTACATACACTACATTCATTTGTCTTATCTTTGGTATGGATTATATTATGTTTTTTTAAATTGTTTAATAGAGCAAATGTCTTATTACATATGACACATTTGTAAGGTCTTTGTTCAGAATGAATTCTTTCATGAATCTTTAAACTGAATTTTAGAGCAAATGACTTCTTACATATATTACATTCGTGAGAGTTGTTCTCAATATGAATTTTACTATGTTTTTTTAAATGGCCAAATTGAGCAAAAGTTTTTTTACACTCTCCACATTTATAAAATTCTTCTCTTGTATGAGTTTTTTTATGTCTGTTTAAATTATGTTCTAAGGAAAATGTCTTTTCACAGACGTCACATTTGTGAAGACTTACATCAACTTTCATGTGATTTTTTATATGCAATTTGAAATTCGATTTTGACAAAAATAAGTCATTACAGTAGGAGCATTCAAAATATTTGTCTTTTAATTGTGATTCTTGGTACAAAATAGATTTAATTGAATCAGTTTCAATAACAATCTCACTCTCATAAACAAAACCATCAATGATGTCTACTTCTTTTTTAATATGGACATTTATTTCTTCACCTTCTTGTTTAGTGTTGCATAAAAACCTGAAAAATATAATGATCATTATAATCACTAATATCATTAAAAACCTATACAAAGATTGTATAATACAATAAAATGTGTAACTAACCTAACCTCAACCAATTCAAAAGATAATTTATGTTATTTATATGATACATCACCATTTATGTGTTAATAGTTAATTGTTAAGTCATTATTATCCTATAAATGCAATTTAATATAAGTGCTAACTATGTTATGGGTGGGAAATTGGGAAAGTAAGATACATAAACTCAGACTATTCACTGCTGGTCAGTAAACAAATATAGATTCTTTATTTAACTATAAACCCACTATTAATGTACAGATCTACAAATTAGGTCGAACAGATGTCTCACTAGATAACTTAGCTATAGAATTTGGTTTAGAATCACTTTCCTCTAGCAAGGTTATATAATGACATAGCTTTTATCCATGAATTAATAGACGGTAAACTATCAGGCCCAGAATTCCCAACAAAGATAAATTTTGAAATTCCAACATTCAACACAAGAAATAATCGCCGTTTCTTAGTATAATGTTCTACAAATATAATTAAACATAGTTGATAGTATTGCCTTTTAGATGCTTGTAACAATGTACCTAAATTTAATTTTTCTTTTAATCCACAACTTAAATTAAGGCATATAATAATCAATACTAGTTAACCTACATGAATTCATTGTATATTATTATTTGTTTCAATTTTTTCTTTTTGTATAATCTAATATTCAATATTTAAATTTATATTGTATAATCTTTTGTGTAATTGTAACTGCACTCTTTACCCCTCTGGGGTATTTAAAAAGTTTAATTTATATCTTTAAGAAATGACCAACTATTGTTAACAAAATATTATTATGAGCAAAGCTTATTTAAACATAACTTGAAAGGCTGTAATATTTAATTTATTTTAAAAAATTACTATCTCATAACACTCAAGTTTTTATTTATCATTAAGTACAACCTAGAATGAGCGTCATGTTAAATGTTCAATCATTTCTGTTCGATCAGACAATTATATCAACATACTATTTACCAAATAAGTATTATGTTAAAAATTATATAATTAAAAAATGCCAATAAATAGATCAAAAATATTTGAAAATTTCACTTCTCTACAAATTTTTTCAACTGAATTAGCATAAATAATAATAATAAAAAAATATTTCTGATTTTTCCTTTTCATTTCGGAAACCTCTTAAACAATTTTAAAATGATCTCTCAAATATACTAAATTTTTCAATTGGAGCAAGTTTTCTGTAAAAAAAAGTTGTTTATAGACAAAAACAAATACTCAGTGGAACCAGTAGATCCCTCGCCATGCTCTAAAATTATAGTTACATTTAAAAAATACACAAACAGTAAAACATTAAATTAAATAATACTCACTCCAATTGCTTTGATTTATCTTTATAACAAGGATTATATAATGTTGCGTCATCACCCATTTCTTTTTTAATTGATCTGAAAGTGAAAGAAATAAACCGATACATCTATTAAAAAATGTTTAAATTTATTAAAACTTTTAAAAATATAAAAGTGAATAAATGGTTTATATAGTCTTATAAGCTCTCTATAATAATACATTTGTAGAATGAATATTTTCTGATTTTTAATAATAACCCAATAATAAGCAATGATAACAAAATCAAAAGGGAAAATTATGTTATCTTACAATTTTATAGAAAACAAAAAGCATTTTTTAAGAAAAACTTTTATGAATTTTAAAATTGAATTCAATTGAAACACTAGGATTTCAATTCATTCTACATCCACAGCCTAGATTTGGCCTCATGCAATTTTTTTATATTTATCAAGCTTAAAAAACATCACAAGGATAAACAATTCAATTCTGAGGAGAATTTTAAAGTTGAAGTTAAACTGATGGATAAACGATCAAATTATAGAATTTTATTTGAACGATATTTTAACTAGTAAATCATTGGCAAAAGTGTAACGCCTTAGAAGGCAATTATCTTGAAAAATAATAGTAGGTAAATAAAGTGATTAATTTACTATACATGTATTTTTAATTCATTTTTCTATGTAAAACAGTTTAAGTTACATTTTAAAAGGCATTACTTATCAGCCCACGTACTTATTATCACCGTTTACAAATTTAAAAATAAAAATAAAAATAAAAATAAAAAGATAACAATGTGGTATAAAATTAATTAAATTTTAAAAACAAAATATAAAGAAAACTAATTTATTTGCTACTATTCAAATTTGATACATTGTAACTTTATAAATAACATATTTCTTATACGTGTTAAAGTTATCAAACCTGTTAATATTATTTAAAATAAAATTACAATAATATAAACTGATATAATGGGGATTTCATTTACCGAACACAATATAACATTTAAACATTCTAAAAGTGTTATTTAAAATTTAGTATGTACCATAACTATGTTTATAACTAAATACATTATAATTATAGGAGTATAAGTTACATAAAACTTCTTTTATATAAAGTTATTAAAGTTTGAGTAAATTATAATTTTTATATACAATATCAGTATTTGTACAAAATGGTTGGGAATTTTATTTATATCTGTGCGCAATAATAATCCATTGTTAACAAAAAAATAATTTGGAGTGAAGTTCAGTTAAACGTGTTTTGAAAAACTGTAATATTTACAATTTTCGTCAAAATTTGATCTTAAAACACTTATGAAAAAAAAAAAATAAATGCATTAGATTTACAATTTGTGTTTTTAGACCACTACAACTTATAATGTATCTTGTGTTAAATTTTCAAATATTTCTGTTTAGTCTAGCAAGTTATACAAAGTACATACCAAATAAAAATTAAGTAAAAATCTTGTAAAATATTTGTAGGTAATGTAATAGTTTTAAATTTAATTACAACAAAGTTAAAAATAATTAAAGCATTATTCTCTTCAATTTTCACGTTCCTTTAAAATGTTTTTTTTCTGTTTTGCACAAATATTAAAAATAACTATGCGAATATAAACAAAATAGACTTATTTATGAATAACTTGATCCAAAATGTAATAAACAAAGGTCTCTTCTAATTTTTCTATTGAAGAATTTTTTAGAAAACATAAATTACAAAAATTTTAAGTCATGAAATCATTGACATAAACATTTGTCAGTTTGGTTTTTCATAATTTGTATGAAAATCTTTTGGAAAAATTACCTTTTAATAGTAACAACTAGATTAAAATGTCATTCCAGAAAAAATGCTACACTTGATACATTGGCTCAAGATTTTTTTTATGGTTATGTATAAAATATATATATATAACAGAATTTGGTTGTTTATATTATCTCTGGAGATATTCAACAGGTATACAAGAAAAAAAAATATAATAATTCAACAATATTGTAATAATGCATTCATGTCACGTATTGACATATGTTATGTGTACTAGGGCTGCCACAGACCCCCACCCAACATGAGTATCACGGACGCCTAAAGGGCCATAGACCATAGGTTGAGAACTACTGTGTTCATTATATAAGATAAGATTAAAAAAATTAACTTAAAAAATACATGGACAGTAAAACATGAAATAACATAATACTCACTTTATTGGCAGTGATTTGTCTTTGTAATATGAATTATAAGATGGTATATCATCGATCATTTCCTGTTTAATTAATCTAAAAATAATAAGAAATAAATCATTTTATTTATCATCAATTTTCTATTGTTATGGAAGTATGTGACTGCAGAACTTAACGCCAATTATCAAATTATTTTTTTAATTTACGGAATACCTTATAGGTCACAAATAGTATATTGATTCGATTTTATATACATAGATATAATATAAATATTTGATTATAAATTGCATATTTTCACTGTTGCATGTATTTAGGTTTTACCATTGAATCATTGAAACATCGCCGGAATGACTGAGTTAAAAACATCTACTGGGAGCGCCGAAAAGTATATATGGTCATACTAATAATAACTCAAATATTAATCAACTAATAAACTTAAATCAAGTTTTTTGTCTCAATTTGTATGAACAATTAACAAACTCAAACAAACAAATAAAATATTCCAAGTATTTTTCCATCATTGTGGATTAAACAATAGACAGTTCATGTCAAGAACAAGTATTACACATTTGTTTTACACAAAATGAAATATTACATGCTGAATGCTTATTACTACCTATAGTACAATAATCAAATAAAATGTATGACTTTAAATGAAGTTTTCTGAATATGCTAGTTTTTACACAAAAAACTCTAAGTCATAACAAATTTTTTAAATGCAGAAAGTTTGATAAATTTTAAAAATGGTTGATGACTCCTACGCGACATGGTAATGTAGTTTTTGTAGGTAGACTAGAAGAAAATGAAATTTAGTGATTTTTTTTTTCATAATAATATTATTATCATTATTGTTTTAATTTTGACTCATTTACTCACATTGAATTAAGAGGAGAATTTTCAAAGCTTTTATTAACGTCCATGATAAATGTGTCGACTTAAGTTACTGTTGTTAAATGCTGTGAACAAAAATGATTAATTATTTAAGATTAAAATAGGTAGGTATTTAAATGAATTACAATAGAAACGTCAAGTAATAAAATGTTATCAATAAGCACTAAGAATAATGACAGGCAAAAACAAACTAAAGTAATAACACAAAAAAGGAAAATAAATAAGATAACAGGGCAATATAATATGTAAGTTTTTGGTAATAATCAGTGGTATCAATTTAGGTTTTCAGATGGGAGGGCAAACTTTTTGACCGACCCATAATAAAACAAAAAAAATACGCTCACTAAATTATTTGTCATAACTAAATTTCTATTTCTATACAAATACCTTTTTTACATAATTTAATACTTATTAAAATACGCATAAATAAAAGATTATTTTGAGGGACAACAATGACTAAAAAATAAATATACACACAGAGGAATACCTCAATATATTAACTATTAGCTACTATATGAATACAACTTTAGTTTGAGAAGAAATTTACCCCAATTCACATCTTATTTTCACCAATATGTATGGAGTATAAATTTATCATAAAACATAATAACTACACCACACCAGCCTATCCATTCTATACCCGGCCTGCTGACAAGGGAGCAAATACCACCTCTACAACGTTTCTAATGACGCCACTGGATTGTAAAGGTTTTAGATATCCCTATTAGCTATGATAGTGGCGTTGTTACCTTACTCCTGGTGTTCAGAAGGCTTCAGGGTAGCGAGTTTGAGAACAATGACGATACTCACAGTGTTAGAACGTTAAGGTTATTTGTAGACGTTCCAACATGATCCTGAAATTGTTGGATAGCAGAAACAACACAATTAAAATAATATAGCTTGAATGATTCACGCTGTCTGCAACACTCAGATAAAAAATACAAATACTAATATTTAACTGAATTAGGATTGAAACGGGTTGATTAAAATTAATTGATATATATGAAATGATTAATATAGATATATAAATGAATTGATTATAAGTATTTAGATTTTAGCTGTTAAAGTCCGAGCTATTTCAGTATCGAGATTAACAAAGGGACAACAAAAGTGGTATGACTGTATGTGCTCGATACAGTGTTCACAACGGAGTGACCGTTAAAAGAATTTCTCGAGCGGGTGAGACGCTTTGTAAAGTTATTTTTCACAATCTTTGACGATTTCACAATGGTGCCGATGCAATATAATCTGCTGATAATTAATCATTTACAAAAAATAGGATATAAATTTCGTTTAGTAATGATTTTGTATTTGGTCTACGACCAACGCGGGCGCGAGAACGATGTCGCCGAACCCGCCAACTATTTTCAATATATTTGCATCGGCATTGCAAAGTGTCGATTACCGTCTACCAAGAAATATGATGAGAAACCCGCTCAAATCGCGTAATATATCCCGTTATGGATATTAAATCACTCAACACCGTGTGCTCGGTCGTGTCTGAATCTTTTGGTCACAAGGTTGTAAAAATGCATATCTACACGTAAAACGTTACGTGAACATAACATTTACACTAATCACGTAAACGAAAAATTGATTTTTCCATGCATATCTGCAACGCTGGTAATATTTTGTCCGTTAAAATTCTTTGATAAGTATTTCACAGTATCCATAATATCAAACGTCAATAACAGTTAATAACGAGTGGGCGCAGTCCGCACGGAAATGCGTTGGACGGGGCAAAGAACTGAACGCAACGAAATTGTTGACGGTCGCGCCGAAACGTGTGAAGAAGCAAACCGAGTTACAGAGGTAATAAACAAACGAATAAAGGTCTGTTTGCACACAGCATTGTCGTGACAGTGCCGGGGTTCTGCAGGCCGTCATTTCTATTCGCAATGGTCAGTGCTTCATCTCGTTATTGAGTCTATTCCGCGTCAGATAAACCGTACAAAACGGGATACGTGTTGCGCCAATTGAACGAGTCAATTCGTCATTCATCATTGGTGTAAGCTGCGAAAAATCGCAAAACTATTCCGCAAAACACGTCCGTGAAATCCGAAAATATCGGCGACAAGTGATCACGGACGCACGGTGTGGTCACGGCCACTGCGCCGTCCACAACGGGTACGGTCACGTGCCGGATGAGTGTGAACGAAAATCTAAAATTACGTATTACACCGTTGGCAATCCCGGTAATAATATTTTTTATCTCGTCGGCGGAATCGCGTCACCGCTGTGTGCAAATGGACCTCGACTCGGCGTGCGGGCAACAATCGGCCAAGTTGAGATCACGAATGTCGCGTTACACAGACGACGCGGATTGGCGAGCGGAACGCGTCCGCCGGCGCGATGCAATAAAACTCGGTCCGATACGATTTTTGTCGGCGCCCGCCGGAGAGAACAGATAATCGATACGATACACATTTTCCGTCGCGATCACGAGCTCTTCAGACGACGATGTCGTTCTTTTCTACCGGTACCTTCCGTCGGCGGAAATTTAAAAAAAAAAAAGAAAATATTGGACACACCCGTACGTAAGGTCCGTACATAATATCGTACACAGTTCGGCGGCGGTGTCCCGCGAACTCTCTCAACTATTAATTTTACAAAAGAAATAGCGGCGCTGCAGAGTGCTCTGCCGGTGCAGTCGACATCGTGACGAACCGCGCGATACTGTCGCCGAGCGACCGGCAAGCTGTGTGCCTGTAACCCGCGTCGATGCGACACCGACAATTATTGTCGTTGCCGCTTTTGTAATCGCGCCGGTGCGCGTTGTTTCGGTCGTTTACGAAGAAATATGTACGTGGTGTCGAATTCCTTATCGCATCGCGCCGGTGGACACCGCGCGTTCCGGACAGTGGGCGACCGGGGCGGTTACGATTTCACGAACGACAACGGAGTTCGCCGGTCGCCGCGAAGCGCGTGAAGGGAGTAATATTACGGGGAGTCCGAAAACGTGGTGCGCCAATCGAAAAAAAAAAAATCCAATAAATACCGGGAAACGCCGGGTTTACACGACGCACAACACTGATCATTTTATACAGTACCTACTTGCGCACGCGACGCGCGGACAAGAATCTCGGCGTCGCGACTGATTAGGATTACAAAGCACCGGACACCTAACCCGACCGGAAGTAGCGTCGCGGCGTGCGGAGCGGTGTTTCGGTTACCCGCCGTCGGCAAATAGAACGGCGTCCCGTTCGCCGGTTTTACCGACGCCAACGGCCGTCCGTTCGCGCATTTTCCGTACGTTTTCCCGCGAGTCGACCATTTCCACTATAATAGTTTCGACTTTGAAGGGTTAAATCGTTTCCCAGCTAAACCGGTCCGATTCTCCTACCGGAACAACGTCGTAAAGAGCTTTCAAGAATCGCGTCCGGTCGTGTCCTATTCCTGAAACGTCATTTAACCTCGCGTCGAGTTCCTCCGTGAGTTCTGCCACGAGACTCGAGAAATGTTTCGACGTTTATAGTTTCATTTTTTGCATTCGACAACACGAAACACACAAGACATTTTCTATAGTTATGATAATTAATAAAAGAATAATATGCCTACACTGTTACGGTAAATGACATATAATCGTGAACAGTGATGTATTTATGGTGAGGGGGTTCGGGTGCCGGACGGTGAATTTTGGAGAGCATTTTCATATGTTTTAGGTTTTTTTGGCTGATTGAAAAAAACAAATAGTTACAATGATAATAATAATAATTATTATTATTAGTTTGCATTCTGTGATAATACCGGGACATGGAAAACTATATATAGTGGTTATTGGTTTTAGATGTTCCCGCGTTTACGTATTCGTGATTAAAATTATTATTCTTATCATATTTTATGGAATTGTTTTGTGTTTATATTATTTATTTTTGAATTGATTTGTGAATTGCGATAGTGAACCGCGTTCAAACTTTCAACGTGTTTATCACTTGTTTGTTCTTAATTTTTTTTTAGAAAACAGCAAGTTACGAAGTTTATTCCTAAGTTAACACACAGTTTTGTATAATTTATACTGTATATCAATGAATGCATTTTTTATACATACCTAATATAGTAATATGCCTTTTAGATTCCGAGTCTAACGAAGAATGCATTGATTTATGTTTACCTAATTATAATATGGTTTTTGATCAAATTAGTGTTTTGTATAACGGTCTAAAACTATGCCAACAGTTAAACATTAATACTAATCGTTTTCGTAGTTTGAAGATATGTTAAGAGTCCTGATTCGTGTAGCGTATAGTTTATATTAGTCATTTTAAATACTGCGTATATACTTATGATGTAGTTTTCTTTCTTTGTTTTATCCTTTTTTCTAGTTTCAATATTGTATGCTATATTTTTCACGTTCTAATATCAATCATCGCAACGAGTCATTCTATGTGGATGCGATTGCGATTGATAAGAAATTAAGAACCGTTCTCCAGCACAAGCTTAGCTTGTAGGTGGCGCTGCAGTTTAATTTGTGTATAGTGTCTATTGATTGTATCACCTGTTGTGTTTTCGCAACATATATTAACAGTAATAATAACTGATGTTTTTTTTTTTTCTAACAAATATATTTCCGAAGAAATTTGTTTTTTGGGGGGGAAGGAGGAGGAGCGGTTTTTTTTCCTACCCGGGGCGCTAAATACAGTAGAATCCGCTTAATTGGGACACATTGGGCGGTGACCTGTTTGTCCCCATTATCCGACTGTCCCGGATCAACCGAATAACTAATAAACCGAAACTATTAAATTGCACACACTGTGTACATTGTATGCACAAACATAATAACTTTATTTAAAAAAATACATACATACACACTTAATTCATACTTTATTTAAAAATTACATATTATTATTATTAGCAGTAGTACGTTATATTTACTATTCAGTATTGCCTATTAAATAATGTAAATTAATTAGACGATTATTTTATTATCTATACATATTTATTATATATACAAATTTATTATTTACTATTATTTTTTCAATCGGCTTAGTACCGATTTAGAGGTGGCTATTATTTTCTCTAACTTGCGGAGACTGGAAGAATGGGGTTGAGCTTTAATTTTACCCAGATTAGAAATTTAGGCTAGTCGACTCTTACCGTGGTAGTAGAAGAAACATAAATGATTGCCTATATAATAGAGCTGTAAAGATTAGATAATTACAGTTTCGGTAAGAAGTAGATGGATAATTCGGGTCGGAATATCTAATTGGACGCTTTTATTTTTGTCCCTTATAACCGATGGTTTGTCCCGGACAAACGAAGTTAAATCGCCTTAAACGAATACATTCGTTCGGGACCATGCCAATTCGTCCCAATTAAGCGGATTCTACTGTATCCTAAATACGTTTCCGACCATAGGTACATATTGTGTTTACGGGGTCCAGATTTTTGCCATCCGCGGTCCGCCAGTTGCAGTGATCGCAATTTAAACGGCGATTTGTAAATCATTATTTAGGTAACTCGCTCATATTACTTGTCCAGTGTTGTTCCCATTGATTTGTTCGAGAGTACACTGAACTGCCCAATTTTATGTGTCTTACTTGCGAATGATATTGTTTACAGGGAATTAGGTATTCAAAAAATATGTTAATTAAATTGACAAAACACTTGACAGTTTTAAAAATTAAGTACTATTATGTGTATCGTATGGAAACTGTGAAATTTTCTGTTACTTATAATGATTACTGAAATAAACACAATTTTAAATACTATTTCTGTTTTGGTGGCATAAGTGGTATGAACAGCTCATGATCGATTTTTTAAGTTATTCGTAACGAAAGTTCCGATTGCGTGATAAAATTCATGATTATAATAATGAATATTAATTGATATTTCATAATGTGATAAAAATAGAGTCGGGGCAGTTTAGTCTGGACAGTAAATTATTCTTCCTCTTGACCACATAAATCATTCTTTTAAAATCTATTATTTATTATGTAATTATGTCATTATTTCCATCATATTCTTTATTGATCCTTAAGATGTATGTATTTTTATTATATTTTTCCTATAAATTATATTTATACATTTTATGTACTCTAAATGAACTTTTATTCTATTATTTTTTTATTAAATTGTGCTAATTAACAACATTCTTTATTGTAATTTTAATAAGTATTATAGTAATTGAAATATTATTCCATAAATAAATATCAAATTTTCATTACTTATCTGTAGGGCTTGGAACTTATTGCATTTAGAATCCACAAAAAACCACTTAAGAACGTCATAAAAGCTCTGAAAAATATTCAAAACAAAAACGGTAGAAGGGCTTAAATGTCCCGTCAATTTAACCTATCTAATACAATTTTCTAAACTAAAGTTGACCCAAAAGTTATTTTTTTTAAATACATACAATTATATTCAAACAAATAATTTTTTGTTAATAATTTGTGTCGTGTTAGAAAATTATATTTAATAAATTAGAGTCGTTAGTCAACATTTAAACCTCACTAACATTTGATTTAATAATATTTGTTTAAAGGGGTTTTTTTCTAAAGTTTTTAAGCGCTTTTTTGTGAATTTTAAGTACAATAAGTCTCGAGAACAACTTATTTGATATAATGCCAGTGGCGTATTTACAACCTAATTTTTTTTTAGTTAGGGGGCTGAAAGATGTATTCTATTATGCATTTATATAATTATATGTACAAATTTAGTCAAATTATTAAATGAAGTCAAGCTTTCTGTTTTTATTTTCTAAATCTTAGATTATTTTATACTCGCCAAATAAAAGGAGTGGGCTAAACAGTGGACGTATAAAGTTAATTGATGTAATTTAAAACAAAAAAAGAAAAAAATTCCTGGCGGGGCAGGTGGATCCCCCCCGTAAATACGCTACTGTATAATACCAACAGTTTACTCTTGCGAACATCTTGAAATATACCGGTTTACTATTTTTAAGGGGAAATTTCTAATAAATTTAAAAAAAAAAAATTGGAGAACCAAACATATTATAATCAACATATCCCGGGAACCAAATGTCCTATCTTCATAATTACCGAAGATGAAACATCCATTTACCAACTGACCTTCGCTCAGAATCGTATTTTGTTAATAATGGTTTATGAAATCAAAAAATGTAAATACAGCACTGCGATTGGATGGGGGATGGGGTCCAACCACCCAATATAATTATTGGACCCCGTGTCTTTTACCTTTTATCCATTTGGTGCAATGAGGTTATTTTTTTATTTTCCTCGTAGTAGGTATTCTTAATTATGAAAAAACGCAAGACTTGTAATATTTATACAATACCAGATTCTTTTATACTTGATATTTTTCATTTTCTTGTTTGATTTGGTAAATAATAATCACTTAGGAAATTTCACTGTATATCTACTTGTAGTACCTATCTTATGTATATAATAAAATACAGTTAGGTACAGTTATTTTCAAACATGGTACAATTTTAAAAACACTTTGGACATTTTTCATTATTTATATTTAGCCATTTGAAATGTTTGAGTTTTTAACATTTTATTTGGTTTGTGATTCTCAAAGACAAAATAAAAATTGTTTGTAAAAGAAGATTGCACGAGTATATATTTATAAACTTAATCAACTTATTTCATCAAAATATGTATAAATTATTTATCATAATTAAGACAATGGAGTATAATGGATTATCTAAGTGTATAAAATAGGTAGGTACCAAATAAACCTTATTAAAGCTATTCTGGTAGGAATTGCAAAGCATAGACATTCTGCTTCCTCAGAACCCAAACTAAGACATTGTATTGGTATAATATACTTGTTTACTGTATTTTAAAACTTAAAAATATAATAAACAATACTAACAGCTTAATATTATAAAATTAATAATATATTTGCTTTAAATGACTAAGAAACTACAATAATAAATAAGCGATTTTCATAATTAAGTTAAAATTATAATATATTATTATTGATTTTAATAATCAATACAATGGTCATTGATCCTTAAACATTTTAAAATTTGTATTTTTGAATGTATAAGTAGGCAACTACAAATGTATTAATATTGAACTTGTAATTTAAAGTTTATAAGCAGTACTAACAAAGGATAATTACCATTTCGGCCTTCAACATTCAAACATCAATATCAAAAAATTTCCTTCAGCTAAAGATTATAATTATATTATAATTTAAGTTACCTTCTGCAAAACGTTTACCAAAATAATCATAATAATCTTACAGTACATTTCTTCATACATAAAAATGACAAATAAGTCAAATAGTTGTATTCCAATGTTTCAATAAATAGAGTACCTAAAACCAAATCTAATTTTGGACATTTTGTTTTTATTACATTAAAATAGAATACTTATAAAATAACTCTATTCATTTTTTTTTGTTAGTTAAATATAAATAAATGTAGTAAAACATACATAATCTTATACATTTATTATAACTTATTAAATCCTAGTTCATTTATGTGATATTAAGTGATATTCAAGAAACTTGGTAAAAAACAAATTACTTACATATCTAATTTTCAATTTATTAAATAATTATTTAAATTTTCAAAATGTAGAAGATTGGCTGAAATAACATGTCCACTATAGTATATCTAAAATATTTATCAGTTACACATTCATTGGTAGATTTTGTAATTTTTTTTTTTGAAAACTATATTTCAGTATAGGACATTTGGCAATAACAGTAAATCACAAGCATACAAACATTAGTATTATATCAATGGAACTCAAGTTTTACAATATTATGTTGTTTGTGACAGTAACAATTATCATAAAATGTATTTTACTCGTTTTCATTAAATCAATTTTTAGTCTATACCGAATGTCCAATTGTCACTATAAAAACTAATTTTACATATAGGTATAGGATTATTAGTCAGGATTTTTTTTACAAGTGCTATAATTACAAACTTTAACAATGCCAGTAATATATTTGGCTTACAGATAAATATTACTTTTAACATGAGCAAATAAAATAGTTTAAACATCATAAAGTACCTATTAAGTAACTTTATTTTGATTTCAATAATAATATTTTGGAAGTACAAATTTTTATTCAGTATAATATTACAACATTACATTTAAAAGTAAATTTCCTTGTTTGTTTTCTTTTGTTGAAAGCACATGTATGCACTCTACAAATTTAAAAGCGCAGGGAATTACAAGATGAAATTTAATGTAATAGTTAAATATTTAATTCACAAATTACTATAAAAATATACTTTCATTTTAATAAATAAATACAAAAACAACAAAAAATAAAAAATAATAGTACCAATATTTATATGATTTTTTACTCGACTAGATGAGTCATCATATTATTGCATTAGAAGCATATTAGCAGTCCTAATATTACCATTGGTTATAAATACAAATATGTATAATCAATGATATTATTACACTATATTGTGTACAAATATATATATATATAAAAAAAACATTATGAGCATATTTTAACTTTAAGTCAATGAAAAAGTTAACTAATCGGAGCATAACATATATTTTGTTGGACAATAATAAAATAAATAAAAGTATCAGAAAAAAATTTAAAAATTAAAACCTAGATAATTATAATCAATGTCTTTCAGAGGTTTAAATAAATAAAATAGGGTTTATTAATTTAATTAAAATAGCACATTTTCGTCAAATATTATTTTTAGCACTAACACGGTAACCTAAAATTCTAACAAACCCACCACGGATAAACGTACCTATAATATATAAATAAATATGTTTAAAATTTAATTTAATAAAACATACTTTGGTTGGACAAAAAAAAAAAAAAAAATACAAAAATAATACAAATAATGATGAAAAAAAAGTAAAATGTGAATGAGCTGTAATATACTAGCCGATTTAGGTATTTAAATATTAAAAATTAACCACGATGATAATGTAAAATGTATAAATAAAAATAATAATGATAATAGTTATAAAATAATGATATTAATTTGATTTTAAGTTACGCTTATGTTTACTGATCCCACATAATAAAGCTATCTATGCATTGATATACCTATTTGTTATAAATATTAATAAAAAATAATTTAATTTGAGATCAAGATTTTACTTATCACACTTCAGATGGTGCCAAAATAGACGTATTACCAATGGATACAGCCATTTTGGGAAACGATAACTTAGGATGTTTAGGACTAGTTTTAGAAAATAATACATTGTCAGTTTCCCCAAACATTTTACGAAAACTGCAAACAAAAAAAAAAAAAAAAATGTTAAAAACAACCATTTCATTAATTATATTTTGATATCACAATAATATAAAAACTTACAGCTTACGAATACCAGATTCTGACCGTTTCCATGGTGCATCGTCAGGTTCTAGAGGTAATGGCCCTTGAACAGGACCTTCTTCCTGTTCATCGTCAGACCTGAGCAAGAAAAAATTAATATTTAAACGTTTTGTAATTGCACTAAGCTATTGAAATATAAAAATTAAATTTGTAAACAAAATTTAAAATTGTATACTTTGTAGTATTATTGTCATTTAATTTCACATTTGTTGATATTTTTGATTTGTATAATTAAGAAAAGAAAATTATTCAATATTCTACCACCGTGCATTGTTTGCGAAATGAAAATATTAACAACAGCAATAATTGTAATAGAGCAACTAACTTATAAGAGATAATGTAAGCATTTTATTACTTTTAAATCAATATAGAAATGCCAAGTATTGTAGGCGAACAGAAGTAGTGCATTTGAAACTTGCCTGCATGGGGAGAATGTTACATCTGTAGAGCTTTCAGAGGTGTTCTCATCTGAAACTTGCGTGTTTTTCTGATTGACCTGAGTGGTGTCAAGAGTTTTTCGGTCACTGTCAGTTCTGGATGTACAGTTTCGTAACAAAATTCTTCGTACCCGCGTTTCTTCGACTTCATCCCTTGCCTGGCTAATGTACAAGTTTACATGCACAATGTGGTAGATTTGTTGTAAACCAAGCAAATTGTAAGCATATTGTACCAAGCGTGCAAATGTAAAATAAAAATGTGCTAATTTAGTGATAAAACTTTTTTTTATTGACTGGTAGGTACTAAGTTAAAGAAAAAAACAAATTATTAAACTTTCCTCGGTTATTTTGTTTTGGTATTAAAATTATGATGATTAAAGCAGAGTTTTTTTTAAAAGCTGAAGCACTTTTTAAGTTTACTTACGATATTGTCAGATCTTCAGGTCTAGGAATATCAGGTTTAAATTGAGAAAGTTCATCTTCGAGATCATTCACACGAGTTTTTAATTCATTTCGTTCAGTCAAAATATCTTTCAGTTCATTTGTAGTAAATTTTGGTCTATCTGGATCATCCAAATCATAAATGGCTTTGTTTTTCAAATCTGGTAAATCATTCTGTAGAAATAAAAAAAATTAATATCTGACTCAATTTATTATTGTATATAATAATATATTTAATTTTAAAATAATTTACTTGATACTTGGAAAGATCTTCATTTTCTTTTTGAGCCATCCCAAACCTTTGCCTAAGCGATATAAATTCTTTTTGCTGCTTCTGGAGTTGAGAAAGAATATCTGCTCTTTCTTCTACTAAACTGCGACATTGTGTTTGAACAAAACGATGCTTACGCCGCAAATCCTTCAAAGTAGTTTGCAGCCTTTCTGCTTGAATAGTCAGCTGTAATAATAATTGTATTTATTATTACATAAATTAGAATTGAAATAGTATTATAAATTAGAATTATTAATTCTAATTTGTATAATAATAAATGGCAAATTGACAATTTTTTTAAGAAGTGAAATATAATTTCTCCCTCTGGTAAAATCTTCCTTAATTAATTATTTTATTTCACGTGAAATCAAGTCACGATCCATAAGTTTAAAGATTAATGACAAATTAAATGCTTATTTTACTTATTATTTATGGTTAATTTTGATTTAATATTTGTTAGACTATAAAAGATATTTAATAAAACTAGTAGTTTTTAAAAATGAATTCAAAATAAATAATAAATAAATTCAGAAATAATACATTTATACATGATACAGTATAAACCTAGTTCAGCGTCAACTAGAAATTATGCAAATTTTTTTTTGAAAATAATTAGTTTTGAAGATTGAATATTATTGTAGTCTGAGCAAGCGAGTGACCCTACCATATCTCCAGGTAAACATAGAATGCATTTGACATGGTTTAGCTAATAAATTGGAGGAAATTATGAAATTTTTACATATTAAAACTATCAAAATACTTAAAATATTGGAAGAAAAGAGCACAAAAAATTATCGGTTATTAAGTTTAAACTTACAGGTACAGGTATGTATCATTAATAGACTATGGTATGTACACTAAAATACTGAACAATATTGAGTTAATTAACAGAATATCCAAGCTTCAAAACTAATGATTGTTTTGGATTAATCATTTATAAACTCTGCTTAACCATACTTTAGAAGTTAATATGGGTAATAAATTTAATGAATTACGCTTTTGATGATAATTTCACCAATTATTCATTGCAATATTATTAATGTTACATAAGCAATTTTATGATAGTAAATTTCAAAAAAACATTTAGATGTTATTTTATTACAATTAAAATTTTTTTGAGAAAACTTACTGGGTTATGTTAAGGTAAAATATTTTAGTTTTATGTTAATTTAATGATAGTGAATATTATAATTTATCTTCAATATATATTATATTATAGATTCTTAGAGAAATTAACAATAATATGTTTTTAATTAATAAAATTGTAATAATTTACAACACATTATGTAAATAGGCAATTATTTTTATGGATTGAGAGCCATTTAATATTCAATAACTTTTAACTGATCTATACTTTATCTCAAAAACTAGAATATACGGAGTTTGCGCATCGTGACTGATAGCTGTGTAAAGTCTCAGCACGATTTCCTCCCATTATTATTATTTTTTATTTCGTTGAAAAGATCATAGGCCCCACTGAACAGGTTTATGTGGGGGCCCACACTATGCGTCCGTTAGTAGCCAGTTACTATAGCAGATGTACAGAAACGAACAAAAATTGTTCCATAGTCAGTGTATACTAGCTTGAGAAAGAGTATTGATTACAATTTTAAAGAGATTTTATGAGAAAAAAATTTGTCATTTTTAATACAATATATTATCAATATCAGTATTTAATTATTTCAATCAGATTTTATGTGAGGGCCATATTGATCATATAGATTTAGATAAAAATTAAATTTTTATTTCATCGCTAAATGGAAAAACTTTGTTTGCTTACAGTGTAATACAATTTTCTGAAAATCGTAATTTAATCTACTATTATATCCAATGAAGAGTTTCTTAGGAATAGCAGTTTTAATTTCTGGAAGTATGACGAAAAAAATTATATCCAATACTTCAATAGATTACTACTATAGTAGGGAATTATAATTATATTACTATAAAGTAATTTATACCCCTTCTATATAAATTAAAATGGCTATTACTAAGAAACTATTTATTTGATGAATTTAATATGTAAGTATGTATGATACATTCAGTTTTTAGAATAATATTTATTGTGAAATTACTATTTTGACAATTTGTAAATTTTTTCAAACAAAATATACCTAATATTTTTTCAGTGAATATGAAGTGAAAAACAACCTTAACTTTTCTCTATATAATATATATAGGTACCCATCTAATACAAAATCCAATTGACAAAATAAAAAATTAAATTAAATTAATAAAGATCTGGAATTATGGCGAGGCACTCTGTATGCCAATTTACCTCCTCAGTCATATAATATCTGACATTTAATTAAATAACAACTTACAGAATCAACTTCGTTGTTTTTTGAATTTAATTGATGTTCATAGCGCCTAATACTATCTCGCATTTGATCAACTGTATGGCGTAGACGCTGAAGGGCTACAGTATCAACATCAGGACTTAAAACTTGGGCTAATAATAAAAAATAAAAATATAAGTTATCAAATATTATTGAAAATATTTAACACAATACATTTAGAATCGACAATCTTGTCTTTTTCAGCAGCTTGCAAAGACTCTGTCAATTTTCGGTTATCATCTTGAAGCCTAGTCACTGTAGTTAATAATTCATTATAATCTTCACGCCACTTTTCCTCAGTTTGTTCCATTTCCTGCAATACAGTAAAATTCATACTATTGAAGAATACAATAAAAAAGGAATTTATTTATTAAAATAAGTACCTATAAAATTAGATATTATACAATTATCGGTACAAGTGAAATTTAAAATCATTAAGAAACCAGAGTTACCTTCTCATATTTAATCCTGTCTTCAGTCCGTTCCTGTTTGTCTATTTCTAGTTGATTTATTGTAGCTCGCAAATCCTCTACAGTGGTGTTCTCACGTTCGTTTTTCATAGCCAACATTTCCATCTGCTCCAAAGCGGTGACCACCTTAGGCATCAAGCCCGTTATGGCGTCAGTGCCGTAAGCATCAATGATGCTTTCAAATTCACGACCAATTTCTTGTGCGATGTCATAGACGTCGACAACGGACAAGGAACAACATTTGTAGTTATCCATTTTTGTAGAGTGAACAACGTGCAACAACATTAGCAAAACTATTACTTGTTTGTGTCTTTGTGGAGTCGTCGTGAACTACTAGGTCGGAGGAGTCTAATTTCAGTGCGGAAAAAACCCGTGATAAAAACTATTCAAAAATAGATGAGATGTGGATGAGAGGGCGAGCGGATATCGGTATTGACTTTTTATTACCTACTCTGGTTTCGGTGTCAAATCAATGGACCTGTTGACCTTTGAAACAAGCCAAAAATCTGATAACGACACGGTCCAGAAAATGTCAATCACGGTGCCCCGTGATCGTGCATATTTTTGCACCGCACCTTTCACGGGCGCGACGACGGCGTGTTCGGTTAAACAGGCACAAACAAATAAACAATTAACCGATTATCAATAATTATCATATATTTTGTGGTTTATTTTTATTGTGGTTGTGCAATCAGAAATCATTTTCCTCAGATAAAAAAAATAACATTGGGTTTGATAAATAAGATATCGTTTATAGGTGAAACGAATACAATTTATAAAAAAGGCGACGCATTCCGTTCTCCTTGGACGTTCGATAATGCAAATGGAAATTGGCTGCACTGTACTACTGTTGCCACAATGAACGCTCGTCGCGTATTACACATCACCGCTGCCGCTGCCGAAGCCGAATCACTCGGGCCACCATTGCGCCTTTCGCTCTCTCTCATTTCGTTTCGTTTACGTTTGTTGTCCGGTCGTCGGCTCCAGACAACGGACTTGTTGCGTTAATTTTTCAATTTTTTCATCCATCGTGATCCTGTGACTCTTCAAATATGGTAAGTTTTCATTGAGTATGGCTTGTTGCTTATCAAACGTGTATTAGAGTTCTTGTTAGTTATGGTCGAAATTTAATTAATCGCACATGTGCCTTATAGGTATTCTCGTAAATCTTTGCATTCTACTGTTCGTTGTTTGTACACGTAATCGTGGCAAGTGTAAATTGACTAAATATAACAAATTCGTTAAACTCCTTTAGCTTTGTAACCTTCGTGTCTATGGATTTTACAATTTTTGAAACGTCCTTAACGTTCTCTTTTTTTAATATCTATCCCTAATTAAGGTTATGCTAAAATGTGTCGGACACATCGTATTCCAAAAAATATGTACGTTATGCACGTGTTTAAATTATTAAATTGTTAGTTTTGCTCTCTTTTAGTTATCTTACAAATTTTATTTACTCTTCGGGCCATTTTCACTAACGTAAAAAAGCTAATATCTGATTCTTAAACCGAGTTTATGGCTGATAACCCACCATAGTTGGTCTATTATTTTTTCGTTAGTGAGAACTGGCCTCAGTTATTAAAACTCTAGGTACTTGTAGGTATATTTAATTTAAATTGCTTCACAAATGGATATTGGACCTAAATAATACTTGTTATAATGTATGCAAATTTAAATATATTTGGTTCCATCAAATGTGTACACTATATTTAGCTTTACATTCATCTGATGGTTGTCTTAATTTCTTAGCCGGTGATGATTTAGTTAAAAATGTTTACAGTTAGATACACTGAACGTAATGATGTCATTTTACTAGGGCGGTCTGAGGCTATCATTAATATTAATTTTAAATTTAAATAATCTCTTTTCTATAAGTATCATTTAATATGTAACTTCTGATGTTAGGGCTCTTCCTCTTTTTTTTGAATTAATCTTGTAGTTTGGTTTAAAATATTGTCTAAATATATTGTACCTAATATATTTATTTTAAAATGTGTTTTGATATGTTTTTGTTTTACAGTCTCATCGTAAATTTAGTGCTCCTCGTCATGGTTCGATGGGTTTCTACCCAAAAAAGCGCGCACGTCGTCATCGTGGTAGAGTAAAGTCTTTCCCTAAGGATGATCCTAGCAAACCAATCCATTTGACTGCTTTCATTGCTTACAAAGCTGGTATGACTCATGTCGTACGTGAAGCTGATCGTCCTGGATCAAGTAAATAAATTGATCCCTTTTGATTAAATTTATATTCTATTTATTGCTGTATTTTTTAAGAACTCAACAAGAAGGAAATTGTGGAACCCGTAACCATATTGGAAACTCCACCAATGATCATCATCGGAGTTGTAGGTTATGTCGAAACCCCATATGGTCTTAAGCCTCTTAAGACAGTGTTCGCAGAACATTTGTCTGAAGATTGTCGTAGACGCTTTTACAAAAACTGGTATGTGTTAACTTTTTTTTCTTCAATCAGTAAATTAATTTCTTAGCCAGTGATGATTTAGTTATAAAATGTTTACAGTTAGATTCACTGAATCTGATGATGTCACTTTACTAGGGCGGTCTGAGGCTATTATTTTTTAATATGTACATTCTGATTAAACAATAATTTTGATCTCTTTGTATAAATGTTTAACTACTTAACTCTCCTCTCCGGCAGCGGATGAGAGTAAAAAATAGAACCGCTTTTTTTTCAAATTGATATTTGAATGACGGTTTGAAGAGGTAGTTGTGTTTCCTCTCAAGACTTTTGTCTATGATGAGACCACTCTTCATTTTGTGTGTCACACATTCAGGTACAAGTCAAAGAAGAAGGCTTTTGTCAAATACTCGAGAAAGTGGCAAGATGAAAATGGCAAAAGACAAATTAACAAAGACCTTAACAAAATTGCTAAATACTCCAAAGTTGTTCGTGTTATTGCCCACACACAGGTAAATACTAACTACTACTTTTTTCACTGTTGAATATTGCATTGTATTCTAGTTTAAACGCTGAATTATAATATTTTGTATAAATAATCATTTTTACCCTTTTACTATGTATGTCTAGATGAAATTGTTGAAGAAACGCCAAAAGAAGGCACATATCATGGAAATTCAAGTTAATGGAGGAACTGTTGCTGAAAAAGTACAGTGGGCAAAGGAACATTTTGAGAAGCCTGTACCTGTATCCCATGTCTTCGCCCCAGACGAGATGATTGATTGTATTGGTGTTACTAAGGGTCGTGGTTACAAAGGTAATATTTTAATGGAATACTTTTTTTCATATCGACATACAAGTGTTTGTATTTACATGTGATTTTGTTGATTAAGGTGTTACTTCTCGTTGGCACACTAAGAAATTGCCCCGTAAGACACACAAGGGTCTTCGTAAGGTAGCCTGTATTGGAGCATGGCATCCTAGTCGTGTCCAATTCACTGTGGCACGTGCTGGTCAAAAAGGTTACCACCACCGTACAGAAATCAATAAGAAGATTTACCGTATTGGACTTGGAATTCATACCAAGGATGGAAAGGTATTAATTTACTGTTAATATTAAACTATTCTTTAAGTTGACAAAAATTGATGGATTATTTTTTGGTAATCAAACGGTGAAAGTGTTGTATTGTATTGCAACGTATATACCGTTACATCATATACTAATTTAGCCCATTTTACTTTCGAGTTAAGATTGAGGCTGAAGTCTGGCATTATTCCGTAACGTGCAAGAGCCCATCGGGCCATGACTTGCTAGTAGACCATGCCTGGCACATTTATTTATATTGTAATATTATATTATGGATTGAATGATGATAATACATGATGTTTGCATTCTTAAAATTTTTGATGATACCACCATGCTGCCTTCCTACTGACAACCAAGATAATATTACAATATGAATTATATTTAATTTTTTAATGATGGAATAGTTTGACTATTCTGATAGGATAAGGGTCTTGACATAAATCGGGACGTATATACTATCACATCAAAAATTGATTTGACCCTCTAGGCCTTGTGTTTAGATTGGTGTTAAAGGTTGACATTATTCCGTAACGTGTAAGAGTCCATCGGGCAGTGACTTACTAGTAGACCATGTCAAGTACATTTTTTCTTAAATATTAGTGAAGAGTTATATTGAATGATGATAACACATGATGTTTGTTTTCTTGAAACTTGTATGAAGATAACACCATGCTGCCTTCCTACTGACAACTAAGATAATATTGCAATATGAATTATATTTAATTTTTTAATGATGGAATAGTTAGACTATTCTGATAGGATAAGGGTCTTGACATAAATCGGGACGTATATACTATCGCATCAAAAATTGATTTGACCCTCTAGGCCCTGTGTTTAGATTGGTGTTAAAGGTTGACATTATTCCGTAACGTGTAAGAGTCCATCGGGCAGTGACTTACTAGTAGACCATGTCAAAGTACATTTTTTTTTGTTCAAAAAAATTTCTGTATTTAAATTAAATAACAATTTGATTACACTAATTTTATATCTATATAAGTTTATAATTATAAAACTAACTAGCAAATCTAAATATATAATTAAGATATAATTGGTCTTCATAAATTATTTCACTGAAATGAATACAAAAGAAATATTATTATATTAATTTAAATTTTAAAATAATTCTAATACATATATTTGGTTCATAGATCATCAAGAACAATGCTTCAACTGAATATGATTTGACAGAGAAGACAATTACTCCAATGGGTGGTTTTCCTCATTATGGTGAAGTAAACAACGATTTCATTATGATAAAGGGTTGTTGTGTTGGTCCCAAGAAACGAGTCATTACTCTTCGTAAAGTAAGTTTTTTATTTGTATTTCACAGAGGGTGTTATTATATTAGTCTATTTCTTTATTATTTAATAAACCTATGATGAACAACAGAGCCAATCCTATGAATGTCTGTGAATTAAATGCTTTATCCCAATTTATCTGAGGTGTTTAATAATTATAAGTAGATCAAAAGAATATGAGTATTAATTATATTAGTTCTAAATTTCTTTAATAGTGATATATTTAATTTGTATACTATGCAACTTAATGTGTTTTTATTATTGATGTTCTCTTAGTTATTATGAATTTTATTGTATTCTGCATGTGACAAATGGTCATCAGTGATACACATTATCTATAGAACCTGGAAAATATTTAGATTTATTATAAAAATTCAGAGAACCGAAAAATGGCTTCTAATTGTACCACCATACTTAAATTTCCTTTCGGATAGAGTGCTGCACTTGGAAATTTTAGTAACATTTTTGTTAGAAGTTGTTCACAGAATCTAAAAGGATTGATAAGTTTAATGTTTGGTCTCATAATTTGTCTGATAATTGCCAGTGATGATTTAGTTATAAAATGTTTACAGTTAGATTCACTGAACATAATGATGTCACTTTACTAGGGCGGTCTGAGGCTATTATATTTTATATGACCTCACATTTTGATATTTAAAAATTCAGCACTTTCATCTTCTCACTAGCAGATTTAATTTCATTAATAAAATATGAATAAATATACCGTATATAATAAAAATGGTCTATTATTAATAATTGAATAATTATTTTCAAATTATGATTAATGATGCATAACAACCAAGAGCCAATTTCCTATGAAATATTCAATGATTGTTTATGTTTTACGCATTGATAGGACTGAGGTCATAATTTAAAAATAATTTTATTGGTACAATTAGTTTTTTAAATATATTTTGGAAAAACCTATGATGAACAACAGAGCCAATCCTATGAATGTCGGTGAACTGAATGCTTAATCCCAATTTGTCTGAGGTTTTTTTCATTAGAAGAATTAGCATTATTTAAATTTGTCCCTGTTGTAGTTTTATAAACTTTTAATTTACTCAATAATAGAATTAATAGAATAATAGAATCACTGTAGCCTAAGCTATTAATTATGTGGATTCTTTGAAAGTTTCAGTACATTGTTTTATTTTATTTATTAACTTGATTTGTTTTGGTTCATAATAATATTTTACACAGTCAAATTATGATCAATGATGCATAACAACCCAGAGCCATTTTTTCATGAAATATTCAGTGATTGTTTATGTTTAACGCATTGATAGGACTGAGGTCATAATTTGAAACTTACACCAATTTATTGTATTAATACTTATTGGAGAAAATCATGTTTGATAATATGCTGGTTATTGGCTGATCCTACTATATTCTGATTCATATTTTATTTTACAGTCCTTGTTGGTACACACAAAACGTGCTGCTTTGGAAAGTATTAACTTAAAATTCATCGATACTTCATCCAAATTTGGTCATGGACGTTTCCAGACTATTGCTGACAAGGCTGCATTCATGGGTCCATTGAAGAAAGACAGGATCCGAGAAGAAGAGAAAGCCACAGCCGCTACAAAATAATTGTACAATTATTTATATTTGGACAATTGATAATAAAACACTAAAAAAAAAATTTATAAATTACATGTTGTTCTTTAAATTTTTTATTGATAATCAAGAAAAAAAATTTCTCCGGAACAATTTGATTAAATTGTATACAATAAGAGAGATTATTCAATTGCATTAAGAGGATATATTCTTGAATAAAATTAGTTGTTTGTTGCTTTTTTATTCTAAACTATTTGCGTAATCTATACATAATTGTCTCTAATCTAATATAAATGAAGTGTATTTCGTTATTGATAGTTGTTAAACTTCATTCTATTGGCAAGTATCTGAAATTTTTTTGGATGTAGGACTTGGAGTTTGAAGTGTTAATACAAGGTATTATTACATATAATACTATATATATAAGTATATTTATATTACTTTCATAATTTGCTTTAATTTTTGAATACAACCTTGTTAATAATAACTGTTTTGTAGGTAAATGTTAAAAACTTATGTCTTACTATTGATATTTATAAGAGATTAGTATTTTAATTAATTTATATAATACTTTTGGAAACAATTCATGCCATTTTTTATTGGTAATTTGTAGTGTGAATAGAAAGTAAAAAATTAAGTGATCATTATTAATTTCTATAAAATGGACAAAATATTTGTTAAAATGGGGGGGATTGTGAAATGTTTTTAAATTGAGTCAAGATTACTGATAAGTACAAAATGTGCTTTATATTAGAACTATTGTTAATTGAGTTCTGATTTATTTTCATAGACCACATACAACCATTATTAATACTTGTAGTCGAAAAGATCTCCCAGTATTTGGTCGTTCATTAGGTATCTGGCTCATTTACGGCCATTTCTGAGAGGATCGTATAGTGAATAGTGATGGATTTGATGTGATTTTTTTCCAAAGTAGGTGCGCTGCTCGCGGATGTGTACTGTTATCAACCGCCACCGGTGGTTACACACTGGTAACCGCAACTCCAGTCGTTATCAGTTAGTCTACGATTTTTTTTCGACTTCTCAGTTCTTGTATTTCTGTCTGATGTGATTTGTTGTGCGCTGTGTAGTTGACCGTACACATACCGTATCGCTTTCCGCTTCAAAAACAATTTTAATACCCGGAAGCGCTTGCTGTCGTCGTGACGCGTAAACACGGACATTGCTTGAAAAACCGATGTGACCGTTGCCGAACGCCAACACAAACAGTCCGCCGACAATGCCAGCCGCCGAACTGTATCGGGAAGGTGAGTGGTAAATTAATTATTGTCTGTGTGTTTATTTGTATTTTCCACTCTGTTGGACCGGAGAAAGAGGCACAAAATCGCGGCTATTTTGAAAATTGCGTTTCCCGGATGACCCTATCGCAAAAAATTTTGTTTGCGAAAGTGGGAGGTTTCTGTCGGGGTTCTGTTTATTAACTAAAGACTATTGTTTTAATATAAACTATTTACTTCTGGAAGGTAACAATTACGTTTTGAATTTTCGCGTTTTAATTTTTTTTGTTAACCACGTAGGTACATAGTCGAATTTTTTCCCCGCGCATCAGCTCGTATAAAACGTTTATGTTAATTGTTCAAATATCCAACGAACTATTGTATGTTCAATTGATTTATAACTGTCGGTATACACATTGTGGTTATGAGTTGAGTTATTAAATGTCGAGAGGGGTTACCAAATACTGTCAAACTAGGTAATTCAGAATACATTTAAATTTGGTTTTCAACCATGAAATACTGCGTTCTACTTTTTAAGTTTATATACGTCTAAAATATATTGGTACTTAAACACCGACATCAAATTATATACTTATTTAAGTAAAGTGGTTAATATCTATACAATTAAGCTGACATTCTGATGTCAATCTACAATCTTGATGTCAATCTTGGTACTCAGTTTATACTTTTTAGCACCATCAAAATTAAAATAAAAAATGTATTATTTTATTTTAAATGATATTTAAAAGTGTTAAATTTTATTATTGTATTCAAATTAAAATTTCAGGTTTCAAATAATCTAATCTGTGTTTTTTTTTTTATCATTCAGTAATCTATATCTGCATGCTTGTGTACTCTATGCATATAACCATTATATAATAAATAGTATACGATTCCAAATTCCATTTAGATTACAATATTATACATTTAGAGTAAACTAATTTTATATTTATTAGATACCTACCTATTACCAACTTTTGTTTCAAAGAACTAAGTACCTACTTTGGAAAATTATTTACAATTGTCATTTTAATAGGTAAATAGGTAGGTACCCACCTACTATCTAGACTATAGGAATTGCATGTTGGCATAAAATGTTTAAAAATTTTTATTTATGATTTAAAAAAATGATTTTTAGTGTTGTAAAAATTAATGCAAATGTTTATTGTGGTTTTTAATATAATTGAAATATGTATAAGTTTTCTATTATATTTGTTAACGAAAAATATTAATTTTTGAATTTTGGATGTTTTGATGTTGTGGTATATATTTTAAACATTTTTTTTTTGATGAAGATAAAATCTTGAAATTGTACTAAAATAAATAAAAAAATATGATGTTATTCGAGCAAATTAAGAACATAATAATCAATAGGATTAATATTAAAACTATTAATAATTTTAATGTATATTATTTTATCTGGTATCAAATATAATAATAGCAGTTCTTATAATTTTGAACTAAAAATTTGAAATAATTTTCTCTATTATGTGTAACCCACTTTTTACATTTGTATAACTTTTTGTGACTATTGTAAGTTAATCAATTTCAATTTATAATGAAATATTTGTTTTTTGACAATTAAGGAATGGATGCAGATTCTGACAAGCACAAGCAGCAGCAACATCTTTCGTTGTTGAAAGATGAATATGTCAAGCTTCAAATTTACTGCAATGAATTAGAAAAAAAACATGCCACATTAGCTGCCACTTACGGTGATTGTAATGACAAAAGTTTTGTGTCCAGGCTTCTAAAAACAGTAACAACATTGTATAATAACACACTCTACAGGTGATATTTTATTTATATTATACTTTATTATATTATCTATAATAATGTCTAATTTGATTTTTAGTGATTTAAATATAGCCTTGGTCAGTGGCGATGTTCCGGCCCATAAATTTGTTTTATCGTCCCGAAGTGATAAATGGGGAGTACCAGATTTAACTCAAGTCAGCGACTTAGGTAATCACCATGCAAGTGTACACCTTGACAAGCCAACATAATTTATAATTCTACTTATATATTTATATTTTGTTTGTTTAGACTGGACTACTTTACCCCTGGATGTTGGTAAAGCACTGTTAAAATGGATTTATACTGATCAAGTTGATTTTTCAAAAGGCGATAGTTTCACCCTGAGTTTAATGAAAACTGCAGATTCATTTCTATTAGACGATCTAGTTAATAAGTAAGTTTGACACATTTCTTAGTATGATAATTTAATTTCACTAATGCCATAATATGATACAATTAATAAGAAAATATGTAATATACAATCCTTGTTTGGATCTAGTAGCTACTTATGTGGCAATTGATAGTCTTCCTTACTCCTTTTGCTGTTCAAATTTACATGATATGATTTTATAATTCTACTGGTTTTTTTAGATTCTGAGTGTAGAATGTGTTGGTTTTACAAAGTTGTTTTTTTTTTTTATTAATTTAAAAGAATACATTTTTATTTATAAAGTTAATACATGGAGTTGTTTATTTTTTGATATAAAACAATAAAAATAATAATTATTTAACTACTGTTAAATGTTCAACTATATTTATAGTGTGATAGTTTTAGAAGAGGAAATTTAGAACCAGTGTAACAGACAGGGCTACAGTTCCAGGTTCCCATAATTCTAAATCCGGCTCTGGGGGCTTACCCCAAATAGTGGGGATGAATGCGAAGGAGACAAAGAAGCACTATATGATAATATGTGTAAACTTATTTTTCTCATCAATTAATTTAAAATAATCACGAATCAAATTAATGTATAATGAGATCATTAAATCAACAAAATAATGCAAACCCAAAACATATTTCCAATGAGGGTTATAAAATAATATCACTTATTATATATAGATATTCTGTCAAATTTAACTTTTAATTTACAGTTACAGTGCCTATCAATATTTTTATAATTGTTTATCTGGTTGTAAAATGCTTAAATGAGGTTTTTACAGATAGGAAAGTAATAACTACTACAGAGTTTATAATAATGTTTTAAAATTTGCAGTGGAATGAAATTACCTAAGCAATTTTAAAAACAAATCTACCTTCTTATTAATTATACTATTGAACTTTTAATAATCCTTTTATAACTTTACTATTAACATTTTAAGTAACATATTTTCTTTATATGATAAATAATGTATAAATAGCTGATTAGAAAACTATGCGGACAAATAGTTAATATTTAATAATTTGTTTGCATATTTTATTGTTTACTTGCTCAGAAAACAAAAAATAATAAATAACAAGGTAAGATAATGGGGATGGGTGCAGCCACTGTTGTTGGTGAGAAGTTAGGATAGTGTAGGATACAGAAGGGAAATTAATTTGTATCTGTAAGCAACGATAAACCATTGCTAAACGAAAAAGCTATTCTGAGCAAAGTTCAGTTGTTACTGATGCTTTGTCACCAATATATATGTCATATTATGGTAAAATACTTAAATAGGCATTTTATATTTTCTTTATTAATATTTGTTTAATATTGTACTGATTTTCTTGTTTTTTCATATTTGCTGGGAAAACCAAAAAATGACCTCCCCAAAGTACCTTTTTAGTCAGATTTCCTTTTAGAAAAAGGGGCTATCATTGTAAATCAAAGTAAAATTGCTAACAGAATAGTTCTCTAAAAAAAAAAAAAATAGTAATATTTTACCAATATATTTACTATATTTTCCTTTTTTTTTTTTTCGGTTTTCCACGTTTGATAAGAAAACTGAGAAATCAAAAAAATGACCTCTATGAAGTACCATCCTAAGAAAATTTCCTTTCAGAAAAGAATATTCATTGTATAAACTGGAGTAAGCATTCTGGTAAAAAAAGTGTTCTTATAAAAAAATATGATTATAAACGTCTTTGTAAAACCAATACATTCTTTCCTCCACTCAGAATCTAAAAGTTTCATGTTTTTATTATTTAAATGATGTTTATTTTACAAAAAATTTTGGTAATCTTAATTTTATTTAAATCAATGCATTAATATTACGTGTTTAGATTATTTTATAATAATAGTTTAATTATTGTGTGTTTTACAGATGTGAAAAAGCACTTATGGCTTCAGTAAATGTTAAAAACTGTGTGAAGTTCTACACAACTGCAGATGAAATTGGAGCAAGTACGTTAAAAGAACATTGTTCGAGTTTAATATCGACTCATTGGGTAAGATATATTAGTAAAATTGTTATTCATTTTTATGACTGTAGGATATCCAACCAAGATTTAATATTTTTATTGATGGAGATAATATAAGTGGCATAGTTGTATTAAAATATGAAATTCTCATGAGAAACACTGTATATATATTATACAGTGTACATGTTCATACAATTGTGTATCAAATTGTTAATTTTTAACATAGTACATTTACTTTAGTACATATGATATAATATGAGATCTGACATATATTTATTTTTTAAAACATTTCTTTTCAAGTTATACTCAATTATAAATAATTATCATAATGCATATAATAACAAAAATGTAAATGCTCAGTATATATAATTAAAATTTAAATGTATTAGCTTTTCTTATTTAATTGTTTGTATTATTGTTCTGAAAGACCCTCAGACCAGTTTAATCAAATGATTATAATTTAATACCTACCTAATTATTATCCATTATTATATTTTTATTTATATATTTGTATAGGATGATTTTACTAGTGATGATTTTGCACATATGTCAGCACAATTTTTGTACCACATGTTCAAGAGTAAAACCAAATACCCTTTGCATTCGGGTGTCAGACTGAGAAGAGAAGATGTTGTATTCCTGTACATCGTCGAGCATAGTTCTCAGGTACATTCTATAATATATTATCTCATTGTAAACTAGGTTACTAATTATTATGAACTGACAACATATCAACTTCTTTATATGTAGAAAATAATATTTTTGAATTTTAAACTGCCATTCCACATTAGTTTTTAAAATAATAATTTATTTCACGCGGACTTGATTTTGTGTATATTCACATTATTAGCATAAATACTATATCTACTAATAATCTTTGTGTGGGTGCTTAAAATTTTCGCTTACCTAAATGTTTAGTTCAGAATAAGTTAACTAGATTTCTAAAATAATTTTTCGAACATGCTGAATCGTTTAATACCACTTGTATAACATTTTTCGAATACATTAATATCTAAACATTTAAGTTTTTTATACGATTAAAATAAAATGTATTCTTTTTGATTTTATAACATTCTAAAAGCAAAAAGCTAAAGTAAATTTGTAATATTTGCATATTATTTTTGATTCATGTCCAACAACAGTTTAGATAGGTACATAATAATTTATTAAAACTGATTAAATGTCCTTGAAATAGAGATGAATTTAATTTATTTAACACATTTGCAAAGATTAGGTTTTAAATTTTGTTGGTTTAAATAGCCAATCATATGTTGCCGGGTATGGTTTCTGATGTGCAAAATAAATATCGATTGACATAACAACTCAGGTACATGGTGTAACAATGTTGGAAAAATATTGTCCATTAATTTCCTCTTTTCTTTAAAATTATTATAATTTACGACTCGTCCGTCCGAAATATCCGTACCTATTTTATTTAATACGAATGCATTCATAACGCTGCTCTGTTAAATTTTCGAGGAAAACGCCCCTTTGAACAGTAACATCAACGTATACGTGTCTGTTTGATAAAAATTGAATCACGACACGTGTGCTGAATCACGTAATCAAATGACTAATGAAATTCACGGATAAAAGAAAAACTAATATTAATTTAATCGACTCTGGACGTTAAAATTCGTTTTTTTTTTTTTTTGGTAATTATTTAATTTATAGAACGGCGTGTTGTAAAATATAATTAATAAAATGTATTGTTTTTTTTTTATATCATTAAAATAAATAGTAATAATAGCTACTGCAGCAGAAATGGGCTAATAAGAACTTACGACGTGCAGTAGATCACACTAACGAAACATAATATTTTTGTTACGATGAAAAATATGTTTCGAAAAGTATAATATAATATTTATTATCTACGGTTAATTAATCGGAGGGAGCGCGTAAAACTACTGAAAATAAATCAGCCGAAAAAATATTTGAGTCGATAGTATTTTATCCGAAAATATTACAGTCGACTGTATAAAGAGATAAGATTAGTTCTTTCGAAAACGATAACGCGTGATAAAAAATCAATAAAAAAGAGAAATTTCATACATATTATTTTAAAATGAAAACGAGTTAACCAGATGCACCTAGTAGCTCACTTCTGTTTTTTTAATTTTTAATCAATGAAGTCAATTGGAAAATATATTGGTTTAGTTTTGATAATAAACCCAACATGTTTAAGTTGATGTTTATCTACTCTTGATTAATTTAAATGCTTACAAATGGTTGAAATTAAAAATGATAATAATTTTAAACTTAATTAAATAATATATATTTTTACCATAGAAAGTATTCAAAATATTATATTATTTTTTGTTAGTTCTAAATTTTGTTGTAATTATAACTCAAAATTTGCACGTTCTTTTTAATTTTTTAATTTTTGTTCAAAATATTAACGTTTAAACTTCAAAGTTTTCTAATTCAACATTTTCTGTTTAAAACAATGATAAGAAATTTAGAAGTTGATAATTAGTATAGTTTCGGCCTATTCGACTGAAATACGTTCAGTTGTTTTATTTTCGGCTAAAATATGGTTCGGCTGTTTTATAACACTCTTTAATCGAGTCGCTGATTTGGTAATATGTTCGTTATTTTCTTCGACGTAATTCGAAAAACAGGATGATTTGAAAAACTCAGTTTCTCGTTGGTTTCAAATTTTTTTTTTAACGCCTCTAAGAGGAGGTAATATCGCTACCAATATTCAAGTGGTAACTCATAAGCAGTTTTAATGAAATATTTGCAACAATTTTTTCATTATAAAATAAAATGCTACTCCGATATCCTTATCACAAGTATTTATTGCGTTGTCGTAAATTTGTTCAAAAATAATTTAGTTTACGTAATTTTTACCGATTTTGAAAATTATAGATAACAATTTACTTGAATTAGACGGCCTTTATATCAATAAAAGTCAGAAATTTTTTACAAATAAATATTTAACTAAATTATTAATTTATACGTCAATTTCCTATAGATAAAATATGTGTTCTTTATTTTTCATCTTAGGTTGATTTACGATGAACCGTACTTATTTCGCTGTAAAAACTTTTTTTTTATGCAAAAATGCTCGCACTGACATCTTGGATCTGCTTCACTGTAAAACATTAATATTAACCACACAAAATCGTTTTTCCGTTTTATACAGTATATTATAAATTAAAATACCCTGTATATCTAATTTATCGCCTACATGCAACAGTTGCCTAATCACTGTAAGGTAATAGGTTTAAGGTTAACACTTTGACACCACTAACTTTCGGAGGTTTGGACCAACCAGTTGTAAAACTACTAAAACCAATCCTGTTACGTTTTGACCGGTGATAAGTGAAACAAATTATATCGAAAGGTAGGATCAAAAAGAATTATCGACTGTTTTCAACACTTAAGACGTCATCAGCTCCCTCCCTCCCACCAAACGTCGCCTTGTCGTTTCGCAATAAAACTGTTGGCGGTCGGCGAGACAGAGTCGCGTGCTATTAATATAATAATATTATTATTACAATACAATCCGACCACCGGTTGATGACCCGGTTATTTTCGTCACAGCAGTATCACTCTCGCGAAAAATCCGTGACTCTATCGCGACGATATAGGTATTGTCGAAATCGTCACCATTTCGCGAGGATGCAAACGTTTATTATAATTAGGTTTACCATGCGGTTAGGTTAGAATAGGCTCGGTAATCGTAATTTTCTAAAGGCGATTCTAGTCGAACATTCGTCACGTGTGTAAGCCAACAGTTAGAAAAAAAAAATTATACACCGTCTACTCGCGATTCGACACCGGTTTCCGGTGTTGTGCTTACAGCGTTTTGAATACGACATATAAAATAACGAATTAATTTATTGAAATAAGCCATGCCGAATTCCGATACGAAACGACCAGCACGTGTTCAAATAACTGTGTTATAACCTTTATTTGTAAAAAAAAACTTCCTCTTTTTTATCGTTGTTTTACGTTTGCGCACATATTTCCACCTACACATGCGCTACATTTTTGTAATTTTTTTATCGGTGTTCAGTTCGTATATATTATGTACTATATAAATATACTGTTCAACAATTTTTAAAGAGAGCTGATAACACTTTATCATGTATTGTATTTGGGTCATTTTTTTTCCGTTATCTATCTAGGCCTTTGGTTGATTATGAAACTCGATGCATTTTACGGATTCGTTTATAACCTTGCAAACCAACGAGTCGAGGATTATGTTATATAAGAGCAAAATTGTATTTTTATAATAAAATGTATATACGTGTTTCACGTGTGAATAGGGTGTATACACGTGATTTTCGGTATTTTGTTACGAAAGTTGAAATTGGCTACCTTGGTAACACTACTGTCACAGATGGAATACATAAAACAAAACCAGTTGATTTGGTTTTATATTTTTTGAAAGACAATGAACAAAAATGTATTAATTGTGATAGGATCGCGAGTAAAACACGTTAAATTAAGGGTTTTAAAAGAATTTTTTTTAAAAAGAGGAAATATAAAAAAATAATAATCGTTTTCGTTTCACTTATAATTTATCCAAGTTATATACATTTCGGTAAATATTTTAATATTATATTATGTACATTTAGTGTGGTGACGGTAAATAACATTAGAAAATTCCGGTTAGACCTCTTTCCGGACTCTTTGTCATCGGTTTCGTATAACGACAACGGTCCGCGATTGAAAACGGGATTTTAAACAAACAAAAATCCTTAAACAAACGCTGCCGGATACGAGTTTTTTGCACGTGGGTTCCGTCGGCAATTCATTTTTATTCGCCAAGTTTTTCACAGCATTGACTTTTATTTTTTGTACAATCGTATATAATAAATAAGCTATATAATTAAGCGACGCCTCACGCCGGTTGCGTGTGCGTCTTCAAAAACCTCATAATATTGTAAACGATTATGACGGCTATCGTGTCGGTGTGCGCGGAAAATTTCGACACCGGCTGTTCTGCGCCGTTGCAAAGGTTCTCGTCGCAGTAGCAAAACGTCGTCTCGGACGTCCTCAGCTGGTCGTCATTCCCTGAATAGCAGCCCTTCTTGTACGCGTCGTACTCGATTGCCGACTCGGTCCTCCACTTGCCATATTTGTACACCTGGTAATCGTATTTCTGCGGCGTGCAGCCCCTCACCGCACCTTTGACAACTTCTGTGGACCAATAAAAACAAAATTCCAGTTTAGTTTTCGCTTGTGCATTTAAAGAGAACTCTTAATCTAACAGTTACAGTTGCCGCGTGTCTCCCTTCCGTCCGATCGTCGTCGAAAGAAACCTACAAATTGGAAATTCGAATATTATATTTTTGATACCGATAACGTTTTTTGTTTGTCACCATTTTTCTATGTGCTAAGGCGCAAATATGTTTATATGTTTACACGGTTTCATTTCCCCAAAGGCCTTTCACGATTGATTTTTCTATCATATCACATTATACTAGTATGATAGGCAATTGAAGTAATTCAAAATTAATTTTCCTTTAAATGTTTATAGCTACTATTTAGGTACTCGAAATTCAAAATACCTTTAGGTACACAAAAAAAAAAAATTAATCTTTGTTGGATTACTTTAGTCTAGAGATGGGCTTTTGACATACACACTATGGGTTGTGGAAATTGTAATACGAGTAGTTTTTTCATTTTTGGAAACGCTTTAATATAGTTTTAAAGAACCGGTGAATTCCACTAAATTGTTTGATCGGACGGTACCTACCTACGAATAATAATATATTAGTTATATATAAATTCGTGACATTACTTCCGGCTTGCAATTCCAGTTGAAACGATTTCTTCATGCAGTACGTCGAATTGGGACAGTGCACCTTGAAAAATTCGGAACCGTCGAACTTGGAACATAGTTTGGCCGTCTTGTTCATGTATGATTCGGGCGGATGTACCGTACATTGGTAGCAATCGATTTGTCCGTGGCTGGCTATAAACGGGGTGAAAATAAACAAATCAAACGGTCAGTGACACCGAAGTATAATAATATAAAATTATATCCTTCCTTAAAATCATTCCGCGGGATCGTTAAAACGGTTAACCCATCCGTTGGCGTTGATTATAAAAATAATAACAAAAAACCTTCGAGAATCGATGACAGACAATTTCGGTCCCGACCGTATCGTTCGATCGAATTATTTATATACCTACTGTGATTAGGTATGACGATTTCTATATCTACATATATAATATATCCAACCCTTTTCCTGGTTACCCAGACGAATCCCGGGAAGTTTTTCGAGTGCCAACGATATATTCTCGTACATTTTTATTTTATTTTGAGAACATAATATTATCTCCATCCCCCTTACAATTGTACACTTACCAACGTCAAAGGGTTGCCCGCATAATAACGCGTTCGGTTATTGTTATCGACGGGTTAGTTGCGTGTGTGCGTATTTTTTATTTATAAGACTGAGTTTTTTTGCTCTAAAAATTGTTTATATAGATTATTGTTTTATTCTCTTTTTTATTCTGCAGTGGTACCCCATTGGGTCAGCAGACGTAATAATAAATTGTATTAGGTATTATATTTTTTTTTTCGTCCTTGTAACGAAATTTCTAGGCGGCCACTATGTTGTTATCCATAATAATATAGTAATGTTTATCTCCCCCTCACTCGTCGATCATTCGTTAAAATCAATCTTACAACGCCAATCGTTTCGGCTCAGTGTTTCGAACCTCGGGGTTTGATACAAATGTATATGAAAAATAAAGGAGGGAAAAAGAGAATAGTAGCCCATTTATGGTGCTCCGAGATTGTTATCAGAAGTTATGATTAAGAGGGTAGGTTATGATAGCCGGTTTCAGTAAGTTGGATAATATTGTACAAATAAAATATGTCGGATGTATACCGCGGTTGAAAATTAATGTTATCCGTGCGCAGGTGTAGCGAAATTTTGCTCTCCTGAACAATTTCCAAAAACTGGCTACAATGGCGTATTGTAGTCAGTATTACGCCTTTCTTTCCCCGTGCCCTCTTCGTTATAACGATTCGCAAATTTAAATAGTCTATACTCGTTGTGCACATTCGTTTGTCGATTTTGAATTTAAGAATTATAATATTACGATTGTTATACATTACTAAACGTTATAACCAGGCGGCTATTGCAATACAACGCGCGGGTGCGGTTAAAATAATAGGGTTTGCCTGAATGTTAACAATTAATTCGAGAAATGATGTCTGCCTCGAGTATTTATATTGTATATGTACCTACACGCGTATAAACTATTATAATGCTCCTCGATCTATAAAACGAATCGTTTCGAGGTTAGCGTGTATTTATATTAATTTATTGTTCGTCGACCGGGTTATTATGACGGTCACGGTCTCTATAATATGTGTAATATTACTATCACTCAGAAATTCGTTTATATCCATCCGCACGAGTGCGTAATTTAAACGGACGAGTCTGCAGTTGCGTATAAAATAGAAGTGTAAAAAAAAAATCACGCATTGACGGGTGGTCTTCTACCCGAGAAGGATTGATGCAATTAGTGGCCAAGGGCTGAAGAACCCGTATTGGGAACCATAATTATCAAATAAATAAAAATAGCTTTACTTTTTTTTTTTGCTAGAGCCCTAAATTATAACCTACAGCCCTTTTAGTCCCCGTCCTTAAAATCCGGCTCTCCGTAAAAGAGGAATATTAACGTTTTTCTTAAGAGATACCCGCGTGCGTGTCTGTCGAAATTGCGGCCAGCAGGAGCGACTTGTGCCGTTAGCCGTTCTAATATACCAGCGTCTGCGTCGGATTTTTTTCTCGATAATGTAAGCGAAATATCGGAATTTTTAAATCTTAATTATTTAATTTGTCGTATCTCGCTCGAAGGTTAAAATATCGAAAAAAACACAGACGTAGTTGCACATGATAACGATCTTTAAGTTTGATAATAGGTCAGTTCACTCTATAGTATAAATAAAACTTAACAGTACTGAGTTGCTGAACTCAAATTTGCTATGTCGTACGTTTGTAAGACAGAGACAGCACTTGTTTTCGTTTTTTTTTTTTAAATCCATGTACCGGAAAACGTTTTCCCACGTGCCGCGATTTCATGCTCGACGGTATTATAAAAATTACAACCGTTTTCGTGCCGCTATCGAAATATTTGAATTATTATATGTTCGAAAAATCTGTTGCACCACTCCCGTGCATTAAGTCAGCGCGTCGACCTCGTTTCGCCCTCGTCGCCAATTTTCCTCGCATCCGGGTTTGCGTGTTTACAAACTTTATTCCAGTTCGGCGGGTTATGTAAATACGTGACTCGTGGTTATCCATCGACTGGGACCAAGGTTTCATATAGGTTTACACTCAGGACACAAACTTCTTCGGAACATTATCGGGTTTAGACCAACGGCCATTGAAGTCTTTCCGTTTCCCCGTCTACACTCGAGACAGACTCCCTCGGAATATAATATCTGACGACGTTTGAACCGACAAGAAGGTGATGTTTCGTAAAACTACTTAAAATGAATTACGTTTTGGTTTGTCTAACTCCAATTGAGAGTGTTTAAATATACGCGGGAAAAACTGCGCGTATTTTGCAGACAAGAAGTTTTACAATGCACCGCGTGTTGTCGTGCGCATTAAAAACAGTTACAGTGTCGTGACGTTTATATTAAAATTTAATCGAATCATTATTTAGCGTAGACGGTTTTTATGTTCCATTTATATTGCCACGGTTAGTGAAAGTCTGCGATTATTTTTTCGCGATAAACTATTTAGACGAAATAACTATGGGTTTGCAGAAACGAATTCCGGAAAACATTTTTCCAATCGTTTATATATATATATATCACAGAATCGATTAAATCGGAAAAAACTCGATTACGACGACAAAACGAAAAAAATTAAACAAAAATGATGTGTATACTTCACGGAGTTTTGTCGCCTCCCTTCCCCCTCCTCCAAAGAAATGTATTCCACCGTATATATTGCAAAAAACTTACCGGGTACCGAAATCAACAAGACGACTACGCAGTGAACCGCGAAGACGGTGGTGATAAACGGACCGGTCCGAAACGGCGGAGACGACGACGGCCACGGCATTCTTCTAGATCGAAAAAAAACACTAGGTATAACTAATCGCGACAAAAAAAGCGTTCGCGATTATTTTTAAATCGTCGACATTTTCTCGGTACTCTCTCGTTGTCACACTCGTACGATATCCGATGACCGGGCACCGGTGTTTGGTACGAAGCGCACTCCGCGTAATTCGTTAGGACAACGACCACGTCTAGACCAACTCAACGTACGACTGGCCCGTGAACGGTTTACCGCAGCGATCGCGTGGTTCGCGCCGCCGCCGCTCGGTACCGTTGGATCGCCGTCATCGAGTCGCGGTTGGTGGGATTCCGGGTTCGTTACGGTACGTTCGGTTAGACACTCGTAGAAATCCCAAATGTTATCGACGTGAATACGACTCTTAGAAAACTGTATAATAGAAAAAAAAAATCGACATTTTCAATCAGAGTTAATAAAAACGAACGTTGTGTTGTGCTATTGCGAAAATTCAACGTGACGCGTTAGATTTATATCATTATTATAGTCAAGATGACAGCGATTCTATCGCAGTACTGTTTTTGAACGGGGCAACCGCGTGTATATGTCCACGTAATATTAAGGGTGTCTTCTGAAATTTAGCTATGTTCCATCAATATATACACATTCTAAAACTCGAAAACTTGATAATATTCTATTGTTGGATCTTGTTCCGAAATTTAGGGTTGCCGACAAATTTCCATCGTTCGATTTTTCTTGATATATTAATTCTTATATTTTTCTTATTTACCGTGATTTTAATTTATACCAGCAATAAGTTAAAACACATACCTGTTGTGAATATTAGAAAGACGGACATTACTCCTCCATTATTTTCACATAGATCAATACATACTTAATAATATACTCACACTTAAAAAAAAAAATTATTGGAAACTCATTTTATAAAACAATTATTAAAAATAAAAAATATTAGGTACTCGTTAGCAAATTAACTGTTGAAGGTCCGTAATTTAATTTTGGTTTTGTGCACACATGTACTTGACATTATCAAAATAGTAACTGTGGATTACTGTGATAGGTGTATAAAGACACAGTTTTTAATAATAAACAAATTTAGAAATTATTATTATACTTTACACTTGATTTACGATAAATATTATTATGGATAAATAGAACTTGTTTTCGTATTATTCCGTAAAATTACTGTAAAATAGTTTTTCATATTTTCTAAATATGCCATATTTATTAATACCGTTTTTATCTGAAGAGAAAAATATTCTAGTTGTATATAAAAATTAACGAAGGGGGAGGGGGAGAAAGGCCATGAGATTTATACCTTCTAATAAAAACATGACAAATTATTTCAATAATGGCGTATACGAATTATTAATACGGGACCCCATATAATATTAGTGTTAAATACAACTGTAAAACGTGAAACTGTTTGTGGGTGACGCGTTGAACGAAAAGTCAAACTAATCAAAATGTTGAATCGACTTTATCTCGAATCAGAAATAATTATTTTTTCGAAACAAATTTAGTTTAGTATCCCTTACATTTTTCAATTTATTTTTTTTTTTTACATAATTATGCTTTTCAGCGCCAATTATGAAAATATTTAAATTACTTTGGAGAAACCATTATAAAAAAGCCCGGACAAATAACCTCAAAAACTTCAAAATTTTAAATTTGTTCTCAATGTTGAATATGATCGCATAAATCAAACTTTTTCAGTGTAGCTGTTACTTTAGAAGTTAAAACGATCTGAAGACTATGTCACTATACTCGTACATGTGTGTGGGGACGGCTCGCAAAACCGTATAAAAGACAAATTTAAAATACCTAACCGTGATTTCTTTAAAATGGTTTCCGTAAAAAATGTTCAGGATCAGCGACAAAAAATGCACATTAAAAATTTAAAAAAAATTTCGTCCGGGTCAGTAGATTTATATAATAATATCCAACTTCGAGGTGCTATAACTTTAATGACTAATAATATGGGTTCATATTTTGAAAATAATCAGTTAACTACCAACAAGTATATTTTCTAGCAATTATTCCAAATGATTTATGTTAAAACCCAGAATTTTGCCAATACAATTTTATGCGTTGAATCACTAGCTATTACAGGTGCTCTATAGTATATACCGACTTTTTTGTCGATGTCTAATGAATCAGTGTCATTTGTAAGCTTATATAGTGTTCAGCGAACGTCGCAGATGATGTTTTGTATTTCTCCGCTATTTCCGCCGCCCAGAAACCGGATCGCGATGTTCTGGCCGTATTTTAAACGCGTTATTATACTTTCTCTCCGGGAGAAATGAGGCTCTCTTGCGGCTTATGGTTTAACGATCTCGTGTATGCTAAAGAAACGGGGTCAAGACTATAATAATAATATATTATTATTGTAAAGACGAGCGATGTAAACCTAACCTTGCGTGCGTGTCCGATAACATTGAAATTTAATGTACATTGTATACGTTGGAGAGAAAAAACGCCATCGTCGCGTTTTTTATATGCGGATATGACGATGTTATTTGTATTTAAAGTATTATTTAAGACAGATATATGAACTACAGGAAATAACCTATGTATAATCGGTCCTTCTTTTTTCGCTGCTTCATTTTCTTAACATTCCTCTCAATCCCTATCACATACTTTCATTTCATTCATCCCTTGCTATCATTAATACGATCGCCTTCTTTGCTTATTCTGGGTTGCTTATATAAATGTATGTAAATTAATTTTACCATTATGTGTATTTAAATTTTGTTTAATCAATATAAATAATCGTCGAGACTACTTGTTAAAACAAAGTTTCAATAAAAAAAAGAAAAAAAGAATCGGTCCTGACAGTCGGGAATAGAAGGATTTTTGGTTGTAAATGAAACGCGTAAAGAATTCATTTGATACATATTGCCGTTTCTTTTTATTGTTAGTTTGATAATACCGCGCTATATTTCGTTTGGCCGTTAAATAATTAATATTAAAAAAAAAACCATCGAATCTCTATAATTAGGTTGTAGATTATTTAAACGTTCTGTATATTTAATAATAAATTACGCGTTTTACGTTTTTTGTCGTAATCCCCTCAAAAATAGTCTATTGCACTTTGTATTATATTTATTATATTATGCTACTTTGGATATTTCTATACTGGTTCTCGAAATCAAATACGATCAAATTGGAGAATTTATAGATGTATATGCTTATCGAAGTGATAAAAGTTGTGTTGAATTTTTGAATGAATAAACTATGTGTATTATAAATGTTGTTGTTGGTGGATTTTAGCTCTTTAGACTTATAATCCTTATCATTCTTCAATGGAGTCAAATAGTTTAATTTTTGTGTGCATAACATTATTATCAATTGCGCCTTTTCGGGGTTTCAACTTTCAACTCCCATCCCTATCATTCTTATGATCAAATTTTACATTATTTTGGAAATAGTAAAATTTTAGTTGTAAGGTTATTTATTGTATTGTGAAAAAATTCTACTGTAGTGACTGAGTTCTCTACTGTTCGTGGGTGTTTTTTTCTTGATAGCTGCGAAACTAACCTGATGCAAATGCAGCTTGTCGCCTAATCTAACAAGAAGTCCGCAAGTGAGTCGATCTATTTTCACGGATTTTTCAATTGAAATTTTACTTTATTCCGATCGATAAAGCAATCCCGTCAGTTTTTTTTTTACGGCTTTCGAGTTCCTATACCAACCACGTCGCTCTATAGCTCAAATATCGAAGTATTTCGGTCAACAATATTGTTAATTTTATCGTAGTCGAAATCCTTTCATGCGACCCTGACCCTGCAGACGACGCAGCGAAATATCATATTTATAATATTATATATGGTTAATATTCCATGACTCACAAAAAGAATCGTTTTCCGTCGAAAGACACGCCCCGTATATATTAGGTAGTATTTCGTTTTACCTATATTACGGAATATCGGAAAACAAAATGACGCAGGTAAATTTGCAATAAAATCAACCCGCGCAATGCAGAGGCGTTTATCCATATGTGGGTTTGCTCAGCTTATAAATGAAATAAACTTTACATACGGGGACAAAAAATATTAATAATCACAGTACAAAATATCAAAAATTATAGTTTATATATTAATTTATAACATTATCATTATAAAATAATAAATCAGCACTAACATAATTTTATTATACCAACCTACATAAAAATTATTGCAGGAGATGATAGAAAATAATTTGTTTTTAATTTAGGTATGAATAATGTATCTTTATTACGAGGATTACTACTCTTTAATTTAAAATTGATTTTTCCTAGTATAAGTGGACAATCTATTCAATTATTTAATAATTTAAATAAAACATTAAATTTAGGTATTTTCTTCTATTTTTTAGTGTTGTCATATTTAATAAACCTAAAATATAATTTTATTCAGTGTTTGCTGGTTTTTCTATTATTCATTTAATAGAGAGAAAATGCATAAATTCATTTTGGTTGGATACAAAATTGTGGTTATATTATTAAGATACCATATTATGAGAACTGTGTATTCCAATTGGGAACGTACCAGAGAAAAATATATTTGTTTTTATTGCTAACGTATTTTCGAAATCGGAGCAAGATATTTTGTGGAAACTCAACATTGAAGATGCTTTATTTTTATTTTTATTTATGGTCAGTGAATTTTTATTTAGAGCCAAAAAAGAACCTCTAGATCATTGATTACAGAGACCCGTTGAATAGGAAGGTTTGATAAATTATAGTCGAATTCAATGTTGTTGTTTTTATGGGAAAAAGTGATTACTAAGCATCTACGTATGATGTAACATTTTATAACATTATTTAAATACCAATTTTTAATGGTAATTAAATCATATTGTAAATTTAAATAATCGATTAGTAGAATAGCTGTTTTAAAAATGTTTGCATCAACAGCCTATAGTAGTAGAATATTTGAATATTTTACTATCTATGATATATCATTAATGAACTCTAAAAATAAGAGAGGAGATAAATGGTCTCCTTGAGGTACCCATGATGATACAAGAATGGGGTCAGACAGAAAATTATTATATTTTTACTAATTGTGTGCGATTAGATAGAAATGGGAAAACTACGATGGAAGAGGACCATCAACACCACAGCTATGATGTCTTTTCACCAAAATGATCCACGCGGACGAATGCATTTCGAAAATCTGTGTATGTAGCATCGATTTGTGAGTTTCTATAGAAGGAATCTAAAATAATTCGTTTAAAGATAGCAAGATTTGTTGTAGTCGATCGTCCTGGGCGGAAACCGTGTTGATCGTTTATTAGAATATTGTTAAGAATAGGATATAATTTCGAATTGTAAATATTTTTGGGAGTATTGATATTTTTGATGAAAATGGTTAGGTGAGGTTAAGTTTGTAGCATTGGGTATAAAATACAATATAAAGCGGACTATTTTCCAAAGTGGTTTTGAATATAATATTTTAAGAATAACGATTTATTTCCTGTTTTGTGACAACCCACGATTCTGATCGAATGCCTAGCGTTTCAATAAATAACGTGTCCACCTACCCCGAAGCAGTTCTACCTAGCCTATATTTTAGATAATAAAGGGGCGGGACATTTTTTTTCGATTACAATAATAATAATGGAAATGTCACTCGCTATATATTAATAACGTGTTAATTTTTTTTTTTGTTCGACGATGATGTAATAAATGTAAATAATAACAGTATATTAAGCATGGAATAATAATATTTCACCAGCACTGTATTCAGGGTTTTACCTAGGTATAATCGACAGCTGTGCGCGAAAAAATAATGATTTTTGACACTTGAAGGACCGCAGTAATATACGTATTGGCATTATATAAAATCATCAATCTCGTATAATAATTTTTTCGGACGATTGGTGGCCCAAGCGTGTTGGTCAAATATTAAAAAAAAAACCGGATAGTTTACAAAATATTAGGTATACGAATTCCATCGGAACGTTTACTAACGTATTCGAGAATATTCGGTATCATTTTATTTGTATAAAAAACCAAATTAATGAGTCAATAACACGTTTCGGTTTGATTTCGGTGTTTATTATTCATGTCGGAACCGAAATATTCGCTAAAAATAAGAACATACTATGGCACCGTGACCGTTAGTTGAAGGTGACTACTGTAAGCGATAAGTTTGCAGAAGGTATTGTACACATGGTAATTTAGTTTATATTATACTGAAAGTACCGATAAACCATTGCAATAGAAAACCGATTCTGAGCGGAGTTAGGTAAACTGTCAAGGCATTTAAGTATTAATCGTGTGTTTTCCCCTTGTATATAGCAATATTGCGTTACGCTTCAGAAATTTAATAAGAACCTGACGGGTCCGTCGTTTATTGTTAGTTCTTCAAATTTTTTAGAAAATCTCTCGGTTATCTGAAAATTGTTTTCAAATAAAGTACCGCCAAACGGAAAATCCGAATGTTGCTGAATATATGACACGAAAAATTTTGATTATTTTTAATACACAAAAAATTCTTTCCAAAGAAAAAAACATCTTTGTATAACTATATAATATAACTTCTTCGCTGTACCGCAGCTTAAATTATAATATTTAAAATCATTTTTTTAAACACCTCGGATACGTTATACGTATCTTCCGGTTTATTGTATAGTTTTAGATTATTAATTAGCGTTGATTGATGTATTATAAAAAAAAAAAAAAACACACAAATACCGAATGACTGTTATTATAATGACCAATGACGCGAAAATTTAAAATTATTTTTTCTCACACGAGGAAAAATCATCGGTTCATTATGGTAACATTATCAATTTTTTTTTATATCATAGTTTAGGTTGCATTCAATAATAATATTACTCGTATGTAACATGATGTACTAATGAGATTGCGTCAACGGAACCTTTTGTGCGCTAACTAAAATATATAATATACATATAGCTAATAATAATAACATATAGCAATATATTATCCGAATGACATTGAACTTACCATCGGTATGCTGCAGCGTCTGCAGCACAAACCGATAATTATTTACACAGCAATGTATTATTATACTCGTGTACAATAATATTATTTAAGAATAATAATATTATTATAAACGTTGTATGAAGAGTGGTCGACACAAGTATTTCGTCTGAGACATACCTGAAAACCGACTCGCAGTGTTTTGTAATTTAAGTGATGATAATAATAATGATGAGGATAGTAATATTATACGATATATTATTGCTAATTGCATTATTATTTAATTTATTCTCGTCTATATAAAATCGTAATAACAAATATTGTATGTATATATTGTTTACGGTAAAATCGACGGTGGGGTTAGGATAGAGTCGTGGAAGACCTCAGGATGATTAGGGGTGGAGTACGCGGAGGAAGCGTCAAGAGACAGGGAGAAGTGGAGGGACGTTGTTGTTGCGGTAATGGATCTTATTGGTCTTTAAGATGCCTTAAAAGAAAAAAGAAGAAAATCGATAATTATATAATATTTATAAGGTATATTTAATAATTGACTCGTGCGCAAAGAAAAAATTATAATAATAATGTATTTTCTCGCTACTCTCAGTGTCCACTGCACACCCGTCCTTATCGTATTTAACTGTTGATTCCCGTTAATTAATTTTTTTTTAAGAATTTTGTTGCCCGTGACAACCGAATTAACTATTAATAACCGTTTTTTTCATCCGCGTCCCCAGAGTAACCCATAAATCATCAAAATACCACGAACTCTTTATCAGCCATCCTTCAAGGCTTAAATTTGTAAAATACATTTCTTAGCTGCTGCGTATATAAGGAATATCTATGTAAAATTTTTAGTTTCTAGCCCAAGCGGTTGTGTCAGTTTATTATTTTAGACATTATATGCATTGATATGGATTACGCGAATTTTTTATATTATATGTGATTTTAATCTCTGTTATCTCGGAAAATATAAATTATTTTTTCTAACAATTTAAGGCACTTATAAAATGTTACGTTATGTTACGTCATTTTTCCTTCTTTATAAATATGTATAAATATTGTATAATGAAGTAATAGACCTAAAATTATGACTCGCGCATAAAGAGAGAAACCATTGATACTGAGCAAAAGATATATGATTGATGATGGTTGGTTTTGTCATGGAAAAATAATATAAACATTATTTACTACACAGTTATTTATTATCACTATATTATCAATTCAGAAAATAGTATTGTAGTTGTTATACGTAAAGAATAAAAAAAATAACAATACCAATAATATATTCTCTTTCGTGATATAACTAACTGTTAGTTCTATCGTTCTCGCTCAATATCGAATTGTCGAATAGGCAAGAGTGATTCAATGCGTGGTCAATAGTTGTTAGGTCTATAGGTCTATGTTAAGGATCCCACCAATTCTCCAAAGACCCTTGAAGCATTATCAGGTTTGGAACAACAGGTTGTTTATGTTTTTAGATTTCCCCTCTATTTGGTGACTTTTTCATTGACTATAGGGAGAAAGCGGAAAGGTGTGGATTATATGACCAATCAAAACGAGTAGTGTCTCTGAGAGTGCATATCATAATATGCAAAGTACGCCGCCAAAAAGGGGTGTCGGCAACGGGCCACAAATATCATCAAGATTTGAAATGTTTAGTATTTTATGCTAACGACCACCTGAAGTTCTAGAATTTTCGTATATATACCACAAATATGTTTTTTCTATAAAATCTACTTGTGCCAAGTTTTTGGTCCACGGTTAGAATTGTCTCGCGTACTTTCGCTGTAATTTTTTAATATCATTTATGTAGTTACATTATAATATGGGAAATTATCAAATCTTGTATTTCTATAGTGGTATTGGATAAGTCATCTATTGCAGAGTGAATTTTGATTACAAATCCGATATCTTCTATGCGTGTCGATTTTTTATGTGTTAATGATTGTTTTTTTTTCAATCCGAATATTCAAGTACTTGTATTAACGAGTCAACTACATATTTTTTTTCCTTCCGCAGTTTTATTTTTCGACGTAGAATTAAAAACCGTCGCTCATTTGTACTTACCGTATGTGTATGAGTACGTGTAAATAAAAGTAATTCGTAATTTGTTGAATAGCGCGCATAATCGATTTATATTCTTATTCTGGGCATAATATTATGCGGTATAAGAGCACTTCGGTGTTTGTTGAGAATAAATAAAAGGTTGCATCATGACTAACGACGATGTGTACGCGAGTGTTATTTTATTATTTTAGTATGATGGCATCTTTCATCTAATTAATTTTTAATGTTCGTTTATTAACAAAAAAAAAAACGACTTGGTCATACTCAGTTATACTGTAAGTAGGTATTATATAATACACTTAACTATTTTACTTAATCGGGTAACTAATAGAAAACTAATAAATTGACGTTAAAATAATATTGTTTTCGTGGATCCGGGATAACTGCTGAGTACTGTATTTTTGTTTTGTAGTAAAAATTTTATCTAATTAAAAATTGAAAATAAGCTGAATATCATAAAATGTAACTGCATAATATGAATAATATAATACAATATAAGTCGGTTACGTATTAAATCAAACATTTAGAAGGGGGGGGGGTGAATTACTGACTCAGCTTTGTTTCTCTATCACTTGCCCATATAGGTAATCACAATTAATAATTTTTTAGCAGGCCCGTGCGTAAGAAGGAGGTGGGGGTTGGGGTGCCTTTGTGTGCATCTTTACAGTTACTAGTTTTGTAAAATTAAAAGTAAGTTTACTTCTGTAGGACTACTAAACTATAAAAGTAATCGAAAAATTATAATTTATAGTAAAGTTTTTTTTCAATATATTATATAGGTACATTTTTTGAAAAACGCTAAAATATGCATAATAATTAAATACGTTCAAAACAAAATCGAATTTAACACACAATACATTAGCCTGGGATTAAAATTTGTGTCTTATCTAACTATTTTGTAATTATATAATATATAAGTTTGCGAATGGACCACAATTCCGGGCTCGTTACTTTATAATTGATATAATTATTATCGTATTCGATCGATTCATATAAGTTCGTTATAACATTAAACTTGATAAAAATGCCCGTTATTATTATTTTTTTTTTTTAACGCATTCCTATAAATGACATATTACAGCGTCGCGGAGCGGGGTTATTATATTATTATGTTACGTCGTTACGAGGACGTTGCGCAAAATAATGTTTATTTATGCCGTAAAATAATCGGTATTGCTTTTTTATTACGCTGGCTAGTGTATGAAATTGTCGACCCGGCGTGGCGTTTGTAAATTTTATTTTATCGATCCACATCGTCAATATTTTCTGGCAGTTTTTAATCCGTTTGAATCTGATGGTACATTGTTAACATTTTATATAGTTTCGATTTCGTTATTGTTTCAAAAATTGAGTCCGTGGCCTTTAAAATAACCCTTAAAAAGATACGATGTAATGAAAATGTTATAATATAAAGATAACGTGCATTTTGAAGTATTTAAAAATTAACAACCAATAAAAAATAAATTTTAAAAAAAAACTGGTCTGTTGGTGGGTGTACCACTTTTGTAGGTAGGTAGGTAGGTAGAATACATACTTATTTTTTATACTTGTACGCAACGATCGTTGCTAACGGTAAATCGATTCTGGGTGAAGTTTGATTAAACTTGTTTTGGAATGCTGCGTTTTTTCCGATCTTGGTCAAAGTTTGAATTTAAAGAAAAATGTCTACATCATGTTCGACTTTTTTTAAATTTCAAATATAACTTAAGATGGCTAGCGATTAAGTGTATTATAAATATCTTGTGTTCTAACATGGAAATTACGAGTTTCGACTGACGCATTTTGCATTGGTAAAAAAAAAAAACTACTACAGTATGTATCGGTAGGTCGTGCCGACATTTCCCGGATCGGTGCTCGCGAATTACTTTTAAACAATATTATTATTACTCATTGACCGAAACGACGTGAAATTTTCTCCGGATGGGTGCCAAGAAATCCGGGTTTTCTCGGTCAGTCGTTGGTTGCGCATAATGTATCGACACTCTACTGCCGACTATGATTAATATTATAACATGCAGTCGTATTTGAGTTGAAATTTATCGTTTCGCGAGATTTTTTTTCAACCCATTCGCAGGATCCCAAACCGGTTTTTTGAAAACTGGTGAAAACCTATAATAGCTTAACCAAAATCAAGCAATTTCAATAACCGTCCGTGAAATCGAAACCGTTAAAATTTATATGGGTTTAAAGTTTTCAACAAATTAATTGTTTTCAGTGTTTACATTTGTTGGGGAAATAAGCATTTTTGTACGAAGAAAACATACTAGAATCGATTATTAATAGTTCTGAAAAAAATCTTATTCGTTTCATGTTATTAGTGTTATGTGTGATATGTGTGTAGACGTACACGGTTAGAAGCTGATTAGATTGGTAGGAAACAATCCAGAATGCCGTGTGGAATCGTGTACACTGTACTCCTATACCATATTATGGTGTTTGGCCGTGCAGCAAAACGAATTTCTTGGTCGAGTGTTTGGAAGGTGTAAACTAGACTATAGTCGTCATTCTTCTTTCGTAAGTAGTTAAAAATTTTAAAAGCCGTTCTTAAAACTAAAAACTAAACAGTTTTCAAATTCCAAACCCAAACCGTTCTTGAAACAAAAAACCGAAACTGTTGAAATTGAAAGCGGTTTCGAATTTTGTTTACCTTAACGTCAAGTTAAGTAATTTCGTCGGGATTCCCACGAGTGCTTAAATATACGTGCCGTAAAAAAAATTTCAACGGCTCTTGCCATACGAAAATCTCCGTTATTTTGAACATTTTACATTACCATCACCTTTTAAGTAATACAAATATGCCACGATAATCCAAAAGGCAAAACGCCACTAAGTAGCCACTAAGTAATCTTGTGAAGATTGTAATATAAGCGGGACTTTTTTAAGTACTGGAAGGATGGTAACGGTAAATTTACAACTGTTTCCTCGGTAAAAATTTGCCGAACCCATCATACAACGATCTTCGTTTTTTTTTTTATCACACTATGTGGAATCTGACGGATTTTCAAAGACTGATATTTTTTACGTATAAATTATTATCAGTCTTAAGCCCGAATTTGTACGCGTTAAATTTTTTTTGAGACTCAGCAGCTGAGCTAGCACATTAATATGCTCATGTTTTCGTGTATTTTTTGACGTTTCCGATTTTTATTGCACATAAGCCGTTAAATCGTAAAATGTGTAATAAAAAAAAAAATAAACAAAAAAAAAACCCCCGTGTAATAAAATATTAAATTTTCCTTCAAGACCCGCGCGATAGTTTTTAAAGTAAGATGTAAAATGTAAAATGTCGATGTTATTAATTTTGTTCAGGTTTTTTTTTTAGTGTATATTTTAACTTTTTTTAACGTATGAATTTATGGGATTTTTATTGCTTTTTTGGCTGATTTTTAGTGCATGTAAATACGATTTATAATTATAATTAGAGCTCGCATTTACTATAAAACGGTTATAATAATTATTATAACCGTTCCATCGTCTCCCTTCGGTTTACTTCATGGCACTGGCGTTTAAACTAAAAACTAAATATATACTCCATATTCTATAATAATAATATATAATTTAACAAAGTCTTAAGTATTTTTATAATATACGACAGTGTCGTATTTCAATTTATGGAACTTGTATATTATATAAGTGCAGTATAGATAACAAAAGCGGACAAAAATATTATCATGCTCGACGTTTTAATGTCGTAAATATCACTACTCGTTGTTGATCGGTCCTTATAGTAGAATAAAAGTTGTCTGATATAGATAATCCGAGACTGTGAATTCGGGCATTTCACCAGTACGGCTCTGTCCATAACTATTGCTATGTACAATGCGAGATAAACGCCGACAGATACGCCTCTTCCGATTGTCCTGGACTCCCGGATGTTGTAATTTCTTCTCGTCATAATTAGTGTCATACATTATAATACTGTATACTACAATCTGTAGGTATTGGCGGTCTTGTAAAAAATATCAAATGATATACAGACAGATCAAATGGATTTGTTCACGCCAACGATCCAAGTAGTATAGGCAGTGGACGTCATCCGTCGTTGTTGTTTACGTATACCCACCGCGATGTCGTTGAACCAGGAGGAGTAGTACGAAACGCTTTTTTTTTCCTACGTCGCCAAGGTCGTCCCCGTCGACCGTAACGGTACTCTATACGAAATAGTGTATTAAAAGCGTTTATAATAATATTATCATAACAATATGTACGCGTACTTTATTGTCAATAAAAGACGTATGGTGATTGTTCGGTGACGTGGTTTTTCGCGGGGTCATAACCGCGCAATATCGGCACACAGCAGCGGAGCATACAGACTCGATATTTTCGAAGACACGGGATATTAGCATTATTATTATTGTAATATTCTATTTTCGATTTTCTCCCTATATTATACGCTTTAGGTACTACCAAAATTACCTATAATACGCACATAGTCGAATTGACCTTTGTCGCAAAGCTGGAGGTCTTTTCAAAATCTGCTGCGAATTTTTTTCAATATTTTACGGTATATTTATAACGCGCGCTCATAGACATCGTCAGCCCAAATACGTCACTCCGCGTATGAGGTTCTATATTATATTCTATTTCGTCAATATTGCAATTCACTCATGTGCAGTACATTGAGCCGTGTTCATTGGTATATGAAATGAAAAAAAAAACATACTTATGTAATATTAGAGCGGTCCTTAATATTTTATAGATGAAGAAAAAAAAATTAGATGATTTTTACCTCCGTTCGTTATGTTCGTCATTGTAAGAGAGAAATTTTGGGAAAATTTGGTGATGATAGTTCAATCCCTCACGTGCCGCAAAAGAATTGAAAATGACTAAAGAGAATTTTTTTTGAATTTTATTGAAGCACTAGCATCTTTGGACCCCTCCCCCACTCCCGTAATTTAAGCTTTTCACCAAAAAACTGATTACTAGTACAATTATAAGTAGTTGGAAATAGATTTTATGTTTGAACCTCCCCCCCACAAAAAAAAAATGTAGTTTTTATACTAAACTTTATGCAGCCATAAATTATTTCAACGAAAATCAATTCTAAGCGAAGTAGTGTTAGTCGTATTTTTTCTATTATTGTTAAGGGAGACAAAGAATAAAAATAACGGACCTAGGGAATAAACTAATGAAAATTTCGATAAAAGTTTCAAATTTAAGTACTACCTGTGAAAAATCGGAACATTTTTAATAATCAAAATAGTATTTTTCAGTGGGGGGATGATACATCTTATAATAAAACTAAAATAGCTTCCTCGTTATATCAGAATCTAAAAGTTGAAAAATCAATTTTACTTAAAATTTTCGTGGATAATCTCCAGATCGTTCTTATATTTATCGACAAAATAAAAATGGGATATTTTTTTCATTTACCTTCAAAACGTCGCATTATTATTCGCATAAAGAATCGACGAAACGCGTGAAATAGAAAATATAATATCTCGACCGTCGTATCAAAATTTATATTCATCAATCATCTACTAAGTCAGTCAATTAACTAATTCTAACGCACGGTTTGTGTCCATCATACCAGATAATAGACTTATAAGACTCGGGCGTAGTGACTGCGTGTGTGTGTGTTTGTGGTGGGAGGTAGGAGGGATTCAACAAAAGAATTGATTTTTGTCGACAATTGTCGTTTCCGTTATACATTAATAATTATATTACAATAAAAACGGGCACCTATCTAAAAACTTCTTGTTAGTTAAGATTAACTTTTTGTTTTTTTTATTAAAAATAATAAGGGAAATTTTAAATAATCGTTGTATAATAAAAGTCGCATTTAAATAGCTCCTTTTTTTTTTTTATCGTTTCTGTTTATTATAGTATAATAGGTAATATTATACAAGTAATAATGTTGCTATTTTTTTTTCTTGTTTGCTCTCGAGCTTGTTCAATATTTTTAAGTAAATTCTTTAGTCAACTATAGGTATCTATCTATAAATCACATAATCACATACCTGGTGTCGATTTTCACGCTTCCGGGTAACGAATTCAAATTTTCACCAATGACACTAGAAATTATATTATTATTTTCTTTTTGTAATAAAACAATCATGATAAAATAGCAATTAAAACGAAATCACAAAATGAAGGGATTATAGTTAGTAGCATTTTATTTATATTTCACAATTAGAGCTTGCAGAAATTTTAATATTAATAAAAAAAAGTTCTTTTCGTAATCCTCCATAACAAACAAAATATAAAAGCTTATACTGTTGTCGGAAATGAGAACATAATATTATGTAGTAATTCAATTTAATTCTGTTTGCTCAAAACGACAAACCATTGCTAACGAAAAATAATTCTTAGTATTGAGTATTATTAGTCGTAATTTTCCCTTGTTAGACAGGTAACCCAACATTCAAAAGAAATTATCAAAGAAATTCGATAAATGACGTCATACAATACATAAACCCAGTCAGTACAATATATTGTTTCAATCATAATATACAAACTAATAAAACTATTAAAGTTATATTTGGATTGAATAATTTTGAAATATCCTGTCAGCCTTCACAATTACTATGGATTACTAAATGTTCCATAGATCATATTAAGTCATTTTGTATATAATACAAAATGGTTATTACTAAATCGCGGATTTCTATGCAATTGCATTTTTGGATTTTTGTCAGTAATCTTTAAGAACCGTAATAGTTTGAAATTAATGGTGAATTTTTTTTTTTTACATATTTCTGCATACTAAATGGTTATTGCATATTTTTACAAAATTCAAAATTGATCGTATACAATAATATTTCGCTTAAAAGAAAAAGAAAAAATACATTTTGTAATAGGATAACTAATCTGATAACAAAGTAAACTTGTGTCTGTAAATTTTTTTTTTTTGATGTTTTCACCAACAATAGTGGAAGATCTGTTTTCACTATTCTTCCTCACTACTGCAAGTGTCTATAATCTTAATAACTCTTCCTGTGTCAGTCATTTATTGACATACTACTATTTAACGTCGTTGGTTTTTTAGTCCGTAAATCATGAATATATCGAAAAAAAGTAGTTCGATTTGTAATAAAATTCGAGAGTGGATTTTTTTTTAGCAAACAAAGACACTAACCGTAATTAATTTTAAAAAACAATTTGTTTCTTGAATATTATAGTGCATATTATTTTCACGATTTTTACTGTTCTAGTTTCCTTTTTATTCTATATTAATTCCAAATAACATAATGCTTAAAAGTTAAAATTATATTTACAATAATATAAGAACATTTAGAAAATGTTAAAAAGGAACATTTATTCAGAATCACAGAATATTCTTTGACATCATTCAACGAACGATTGCTGAATAATATAAAACACCTATTCTTAGATTCATTTTTGCTTATTATTACATTATGTTATTCTTAATTATTTTGTTTTAAACAAAATATTCTTGAATGGATGAAAGCGACGCATGAGCGTCCTCGTAGATAAAATTAGAAGATAGAAATAATAATGAAGAATATTGTATGCCCCAGTTATTACTTTAATTAACTCAATAAATTTTTTGGTGCTGGCTGAAAAAAAAAATTGAGATCAAAAATTGTACAAGAAAATACATGTAAAGTTTTTGTTTAGAGCAAGATTTCTTGTAGAAAAGTTGTTTATAAATACAAAAAATAACATTTAGTAAAACCAATATACAGAAAAACTATATGGGTGTTGATGCTATTTAAATAATTATCCTAATCAAATTTAACGATAGGTATACAGGGGACTACCACATAACAGTACACCAAACCCATTTTGTTGTCATAATAAAGTTGATGTAATCAAAACATTTGGTTGGAATTTTTACCAACTAACATAGTTTCACCAACCATACACTAAGGTCCTTCCAACTTACATTTTTTTGTGATAGTATAACAATACATAGAATTTACAACTACATCATAAGGTCATCTTAACAATATTTATATTGTTTGGGTAATCATTATGAAATGGTAAGAACTATAAATAGATATAGGAGAGAATATAATATAAATTATAATATGTACCTATTCTTTTATATATATATTATATATGAATAAATAAATTGGAACAAAATATAATATCTGTAATACGTTTAATTTAATTACAAAACTTACAATATAATAATTATTAATACAAAGTATATTTTGGTATAATAATATTTCAAAAATTACAAGATACATAATATGTAGCCTTTTTGATAGTTTCGATTTCAATTCAGTAATTCTTTTTAACATTTTAGCATGATTCCAATAGAATAACAAATAATTTAATACGGACTACGGACACTGTGGTTAATGCCAATTAACAATAATACAGTAAGTAATGGTCGACACAAAATAGGTTTATGGAGTGCAGATAATTAGGAGTAATACGATTCTAGGACGCGCAGTTTATATTTGATTATCGTAAATGGTTAGATTGTTGCGATGTCCAGAATAATATTAGAACGTAGTTAGAACCTACTAAAATGGTTAGAATAAATATTTAACCATAAAGTGTAGTTGTAAATACTATTTATTGTCAATTTCATATAATTTAGGTCAACTTAAATAATTCAGTATTATCAACTAAACATTTAGGTATATTTAGAGTAACCAATCGAAATAAAAGCAACCATTTACTATAACTAATAATTATTTTTTTCCGTGTGAATATCTCTCGCTTCACTCATCAAATACTTATAAATTAATTAATTAAAATATCCTATATTATAGTATATTATACTGTATACCTTTCAAACTTCTCACTTATAACAACAGTGGTATAAATTATGTCTAGATTTTTTTTTTAATAAATGAAAATAAATAAATAATTATGTAACGCGTAGTTTTGTCTGGCAAAAAAAAAAAAAAAAAAAACGTTTTTACACGGAAATAATTATATATAACAATTATAATATTATTTTGGTTACATATGTTTGTTAATTCAACCACTAACAAGTTTTCTGTCGCGTAAAGTTGCAAAATCTTTAAAGTTAAGCATTTATTTCATTAATATACCTACTGAAATATTGTGCTCGAATGCTTTTTAAATATTTACACAGTATAAATTGATAAACAGCGGTAAACGCACGATTTGTGAGTAGTTAACTGTTTTCTATTTGTATAGTACTTGGATTGTTTTATCTATACGCAGTGTGAAGGTCGAAAACGGTATTTATTTGTGCTTATTCAATTGAAATATTCGGACTTTTATTACATCACATTACAGGTTTTTCTAGCATTGTCCGTGCTAAAAGAAATAATATTAATTTTAATATTTATTATTATTTTTTTTTTAACTTTATTTCATCCGTAACAAACTTCCATCCATCCAATTAAACTTTCACGTTTATGATATTAGTATAGGATATACTACGTATAGTTTGATTCGTCTATAGATAGCCCTTGATTGAAAAACTTTCGGTGTACGATTTGTTTAACCACAAAGACACAAAACTTCTATTTTGATTTCTATCTCGAAAGGTATAGTATGTCCTAATAGTATATTATGTATTTGTACTGTAGATCGATAATTCCTGGCAGTTTACTTATAATTATAGTTTAAACAAGTTAATTTGACATATTATAGTTTCTGTGAACTTGCAGACATTTTCGACCGGAATCAATATTCGTGTTATTTGATTATTTACCTCACGTTTGTTATCAGTTTCGTCTGTTTTATCATCTATACATATTATTACGACTTTCGTATCCAGTTGTAAAATTAAGTTTTCTCATTTATTTTAATTTCTTCGATTATACTTTGTTATAATATATTCTTTGATTTCTATTTACTTTCCCTTGTTTGAGGGGTAGGCTTACACCTACGCTGTTTAATAACCTTCTCGATATGCATTGTTGCATATTGTTACCATTTGGCAACGTGAATTTTATTCTCGAGTTATTATTTTGCATTCGCACTTGATCTTTATATTTCATGACAGCAGTCAAGGTGAAAGTATACCCGGTTTTTCTTTGGTCGATATTATTATACCGGTGCGCTGCATCATCCATTACGAGCGTAAAACGCTGTTTTTCAAAATTGAAAATTATAAAATGTTATATTAAGGTATATTTGTGAGAAAGGTGTATCTTATATAAAAAAGACCAGTTCTGTCTATCTGTGATGCTCTTTTATAATTGATACGTAAATTGTAATGTTTAGGTTTAAATTAGAGTTAAAACACAAATAACAAAATTTAAAGAGAAAAAAATTGCTGAAGTCTGTATAAAAAATTGTGGAAAAGTTACAGCCGTGTTAGTTTTTGTACTTTTTAAATAGCTGTAATTCTTTAAATTGTGTTATATGTGATACAACTCCAATTTCAATTTAAATGCCACAATTTATGTTCTAACGTAATTTTGTCGATCGTGTTAGTATGACGGTATAACACGTGGCAGTCCTCTTATCTAAAAAATGTTAGATTTACCCATGTCCCTCATATTTATAATTTATTCTTTGTAATGCGACTTTGTCTCATTTTATTTCATTCAATTTTCTAAATAGTACATTCACATCAATTGGTTGTTGCCCTCAGATTTTATCAGATGATCTTTAATCATTTATATTTCAGTCTATCTGTAATTATTATTATTAGTCATTGCACATTTTTGTACGTGATAATGATTTTTTTAATGTTAATAAATTAATAAACGAAATAAAACTTAAATTAAAATGTTTAGTTTCGTATGTTAAAAAAGTTTTCGTCATAAGTATTTGCAGCATTTAGATTTAGCACTAGCCATTTTAAACATTTCAATGATCGTTATAACATATAGAGAGACATACAACTATCATAGTTGATGAAACTTTGTACATTCGGCGTTCAAAACAAGAGGAGATCAGTGCTGTTTACTTTCAAATTTAACCCCTAAATAGCGGTTAGTACAAGGGCTATTTATCGGTTTCTTAGGAGACATGGAAGGAAGAAAAAATAGTTATTATTATTTAATTTGATTGTCCCATACAAGGAAGTACTTTATTTAAAGGTTAAATGACCGGACAATAATGATTTACTGCGGTAGGTTTCGAATGGAAATGGAAATTTAATTTATTTTATTGATTTCTGTTTTTAACAGGATTGAGTCAAATAAATACCGATTAATTCAGCTAGTCAAATTTATAATTTCATTTAAAACGATTCTATAATAAATAGCGAACAGCAGTAGGATATATTCTAAGAATTGTTGTCAACTACACAATTTTCGAAAACTCTAAAATATTGCAATTTATATTTGTATGCAATAGGTACCACTATTATACTTGTTTGGTATAGTGGTATTCAATAATATACATACATACTTCTTATAGCAATTTATATGTAATACATATTAAGCCTTTAAGTTTTAATTGATATTTGCATCAGATCTAACCTGTGTAGTACGTGATAATTATAAATAATAAATAACAAAGCATTTAATTTTTAAGTGCATAGTAAAAGATATTTATAAACATATATATAAAAATTGGTGATTGGATAATTTATAATATAGGAAACAAAGTACATGATGTTGTACACTACGTTTATTTGTTGTATTTTGCATTCATTATTTTAATATTATAGATAGGCAATGTAAGCAAAGAATTTATAATATGAGAGGCAAAGTACTAATTTAACTACACAATATAAAGAGCAAATATATTTATAATCAAAAACTGTTTAATTTGAAAAATAATTAAGTATACATTCATTTTAACATGATAAATTGTCATTCCGTTGCATTTTAATCTGCCCCATAAATGTATTATGGTGTAAATTGTATTGTTTAAGTTTGTCTTGATTCTATCATATATTTTGGGATAATGTGAAAACGCACATAATAACCATTTACAGGCCGCTGTAGGATTTACTATTAAATCAAATAAATTATTTGACCATAAAAAGGATAACATCGTTTTGAATCATGAATCAGTGGAGTAGGTCTTAGTTCGCTTAAATTCAGAGCACATAAAATGACAAGGATTTTCTTTTTCATGAGTTAATGTCATACAGTTATCCTACTGTCTATTGATTAAACATTATAATAGATTATAAACCAAAATAATATTCACATTTGCGAAAACTTCAACAATTTTTAGAAAATACCTTGTCAATAGTTTCAATTACCAAAAATGTTCAAAAATTACTATTTTGAATTTTTTTTTTTTTATCAATTATAATATAATTTAAACCACTTAAAATTTATACAATATTTCAATATATTATTTGTAGCGTACTTATTATTTAAAATATATATATTAAAAATACTGAATAGACAAAAGTTATTTCAAGTAGCAGATCATCGTGAGACATCCTGTATAGTATACTTTGAAGATTTCACGTCCAATTATGTTTACATATGTTATGTTCCTATATTGTAATGTTATTTTAAAATAAAAACCAATTTCATATTATTGTAATAAATTGTTTTATCGTGAACGTGAAATATGGATAAAAAAAAGTTAGGTTAGGTTCACTCGTATACATAATATTGTCAAGGTCTCGCGTGATACTTATTCATTTAAATATTAATGAATATGCGTTTTTCATATCACGTAAAAAAATAAGGCATCTATTTAAACTTCAACCAGTTCGATTGCTGCAAGATTTTTTGTAGACAAATTATTTAAATCAATACAAGTAGTTAATTGAGTACAAGTTGTATATAATATAATGTATCTCAATAATTAATTTAAACACTACATAAGCGAATATTTTTTTTTTTTACTCTAATACTAAGTACTTATATATATGTTTTTCCGAAATATATATATAGGTATATTATTAATTTGGGTGTACTTATAACTAATATATTGTATTATTTTGTATTACTATACAAGGAATTAAACATTTTTCAGGTTTCACGTATTTAAAACCCTATCTAAATATTAATTATTTTAAAAGTATTTATTATGATTAAATGTAATAATAACTCAAATACTACAGAGTTGTCTAGGTTTAGCATACATTTTATGTATATATATATTTTTTTTTTGTTTCACGTGCTATTTACACTTTGCAGCTTTTACCAGAGCTCTTTAAATTTGTCAATACTGGCTTCATTTCTTAATCTCTTTAAGTCATCTTTTACTCGGGTCATTCACCGTTGTTGTGGTCTTCTCACAGGTCGTTTTTTATTTGGTTTTTTAATGAGTAATTGTCTTATCAAACTACCCTCTGCAAGTCATATACTATGTGACCAGCTCACTCTAACCTTTTTAACCTCAGAAAATCTTGTAAACTCGGTGCATTGTACAGTCTGTTTAGATTTGCATTTTTTTTCCGCTCGTAACACCAATATTGGGTTTAACATATGCCCATATATTTTTTTTTATGTTTTTGTCTTTTAAAAGTCAATGCTTATTCTCGTCATCTTGACCATGTTTCACACCCGTACATGACAATGGGACGTAAGTAAGTAATGTATAGTTTTTTCTCGGTGTCTTTTGAAAGGAGTTTCGGTGCGAACATTTCACTCGTGCATATATTTTTCATGTTATATATTAGCACTTTAGTATTTAAAATTCTCGGCTTGTTCAAAAGAATATTGATGCTAAAATGCTCAAATTTTGTAACGGTGCTAGGACGCCTGTACTCATAACAAATACCTAGTCTTAGGCAAAAACAGTAGATTATTATTCATATTATATTCTGTACGATTCAAACAACTATACTGTATAATATAACACTGTTGGCTAGATATCTAATATCTAAACAGTATTTTAATAAATACCTACGCGGAATCGCTGACCTATAGTAATGCGGTCCTATTTGTTATTTTTTAGTGCCGTCTCCGGACGATAGCCGCACTTCAAGGATATTTCACGCTATTTTTAAGAAAAAAAATTATATAATGTATATACTCGTATTTCGTATCGGTTTTACACCGACTTGTATTATACAACTACACTCCCCACGCTATCCTTGGTAAATGACTTATCGACTCGACGGAAACGCAGTTACACATTAATGCTATACGATTGAGGTGGGGGGAGGGGCGTATAAAATAGGCGCATTCGTTTTATCGTTTCATATTACGTTTATTATTTATACGGCATATTGTGTGTACGTTTTATCTCGGCGAGGTTTATTGAACCTCCGCCGACAATAATACATTTTTATTATAATAATATTCCAGAATAACAACAAGATACAGTACAACTTCCATATTATAACGGTTATCGAAGGGATTGGAAATAGTGACCGCTATTTAGAGGTGACGTCCTTTAGAGGTTTCTTGCAGAGACATAACACTTGACGAGACCAAAAAAAAATGACCATTACACAGAGGTGACCGTCTTTTAGAGGTCACCGTTAACGGAAGTTTTATTGTAATTCGAAAAACGTCTCGTGCAACCGCATGTCTGTTGCGATGACTGCTACGTTCACGAAAATCGTCTGTTCATTCGAACACGGCTATTATTTAAAAATTGACAATGTTCTTTCAATTGATACAGTGGTGGCTATCCTGTAGTAGTGCAACATAGTACCGACTTTTGAAGATTTCGACATCAATTGCAGCATGAAGCATCGTTCCTTCGTGACCAAATCCGGTGGGTGTACGTGCGGCACTTAATCATTGGGTATGGACCATATGGTATGATCACGAAAATGGTGAAATTCATACCGAAACATCTATAGAGCATTGTTTCCCAACCATTTTGATAGTACACAGATTACTTAGGGAACTTACGACAGGTTGTAGACCACTTTGATTTAAAAGAAACTCGTTTTCAGATATAAACCAGGATCATTTTTTTCCAAAGATTACCAATTTTCTACTTTTAATTTATGATAACCTATATGTGTATAACATTTTGAGATAAATACTGTTGCTAAGAGCATTGAGCATTACGCTCTTGTTATTTTTTCATTATGAGCAAACCACAAAAATATATTGTAATAAATACAAGAAGAAAATAATGTAAGGCAATTCTCCGCAATTCATGCGATATTTCTCAGTGTATGATTTTTCTTTTCACTGAATGTCTGTTTTTCAAATTTTTTAGTAAAACAAAAAAAAGTCGCATACTGAATTTTTCAATTTTCCAAAACTGCTTATATTAAAGAGAAAATGTCACGTCACGACTGTTCGACGTATTATTTTAATTATTTTCTCGTTTGTTTGGACTTGCAAAATAAGCATGGTTGTTGAATTTAATAAGTGAAGTTCCGCACGTATATACAGTAATCAAAACAAATCGGTGTTGAAGAATTTTTTAATGTCGGACTTTATTATGCGTATATATGCATTTTGTTTTTAGTTAAACAAGAACAGTTACAAAAAGACAGCTAAATAAACCTAGATCGTTGCGTTAAACAACGATGTTTTCGTCGTCGCCGTATGAAAAAAAAATGCAATTCGCATGACTCATCGTCCGTTCGTAATACGTAATTAAGTATTTACTAAATGAGTAACACGGCAATATTATTATCGGTAATATTGCAGATTTTGATTAGGATAATAGTTATTAGTGTTGTATAATATGATAGTTTTTCCTTTCCAATTGTCGAAAAAACTAAAAGAAAAATCGAAAAATAATCTCTACAATGTACCAATTAAACAACATAATGGTCGAAAAGATGTTTTAGACACACACACAAAAAAATAAACGCATGCATCATGGTAAACCCCTATGAGTACGCTCAGAATCTAACACCCCTCGCTTCTCGTTAATTTATATTAAGATTGAAACCATAATATTTCTTATACTCCGAAAACCCATACTTTGCTGTTCGTATATTATGAAATTTAACTCGTCGTGTAATCGAAACATTTTTCCTGTTTCAAGCCTTATAAATAATATATGTGTAGGTATTATAATAATTTGCCTATATTCCTCAAGTTTCCTATTCAAAACGGCAATAGAGATTTTTTTTTTATAATTTCAAACTCAGTGTCAATCAATTTTTAATTTTTGAGTTTCGCTATCCTGCGTTAATCGTGTTTATAAGTACAGTAATCATATAATAATATAGACTTGAACAAAATATAGCATTAAAAATCCAGTGCGGAACTGCATGCCTGAGAGCTAAAAAGAAGTTCGGCGAAAATTACCACTTAGATGTAATAAACTTTGACGTGGCCAAATAATATGAACCATAGACGTGCGCAGGCTTCTTTCTTGGAGTATGCAGAGGGCTGCCACTGGTGTCCCCTGAACATTATTTTAAGCACGTAAAATTTGGTAAAAATATACACAAATATTAAAATGTCTTAATAGCTATTTAATTAAAAATTTAATTTCTACTTAAAATTCAAATTGAATTACAACCTAAAACGTACGTATTTCGTAAATACTTGACGCAAGGCAAATAACAGCTGTTTCAGTTTTCCAATAGCGCTCGGTCATAGACATAGTATGGAGTCATACGTCAGTTGATCAGACTATCGGTTTCATATATGGAATTGCTATCAGTGTTTAGCTAAAAGATCAAAGCAATAATTAATATTGTTTTGATTTTTTTTTATCTTTGTTATGTCTGAAAACAAGGTATAGTGTTCAGGGTACCCTGCATATCACACGCGTACGCTTATGATATCAACTCTATACAAAGTGATTTTTTTTATTATGAACCAGCAATTATCTCTGAGGAATTTAAGTAAATTTGATTTCTGTTTTTTTTTTTTTATCACCATGGAATCGTTTAAACTTTATTTTAAAACCATTTTAAATTTTTTACCCCTACGCCATTTACCGAAAATATTTATATACTTTTATTTTTCGAATAGGATCCCTCCTTTTTGAACTGAGATTTAAATAGAAAATATTTTTTTTAGACATTTTGATGTACATTGTCCATAACATTGTAATATCAGATTTATCGTTTACGACTTATAATAGTTTATTTTAAATATACGTTTAAAAAACTTTTATCTATCTTATCTTTTCAATTTCCCACCTACAACAGTTATATTATAGTGGCTCACCGATGAACAGTATCAATCATTTTTTCATATGATTACTTTAGTGTGAAACACGGGCGATTACAGTATTCACCGAAAAACTGACATGTTGCATCCGTGCTATTCTATTGTCTATGTTTCAAACGTTTAGAACATTCGGATCTCTCGGTGTGTGATTATTCTATTATTTACTTGAGGCGGTGAATTAAAGACTAGATTAAGTAAAACAGTTTGGAAACTCTGACGTATACGGAATGTTTTTTATAACAATTTAATTGTACAATTGTGTACAATGTTCTATTAAAAATCTACAGAAATCTACGTTCTATAGAGATCCACGTAATATAATTATAAATTATAATGCAGTACTCAAGTCGGTTAAACGATTACAAGAGATGTAAGTAAACGCTGTATTATAACGACGAGTGGTTTCATTTACCCGCTGTTTAGTAATATTTAGTTTTTAATTGAATTTTTATACAGTATAAAATTATTATGCTATTATGAGCATTATGACGTGAAATATACTAGTTATACGGTCAATGTCAAATCTTATGTCACAAATATATGCCTAATCACGTGTAATTTTGTTTTTCATTCTTCCGAAGGTCGACCGTTTATAATCGTATAAATTATATTATATCATGTTCTCCTTTTATAATATATACTGCGTACATCTCTCGTAATAATATTATTTCTTACAACTCTACAGGGGTGGCGGCGCGATGGTACTCAGAGGGAACTAAAAGTTACAACCCTCAAATAGTAATTAATTCTTGAAATGAATACTATCCCGTCGTTTTATAATATTACAGTAGTTATAATATTTGTTTGTGACCGTGGTTTTAGTGGTGGTAAATACGTCAAAAATCAGTATTGAAATAACCTGAAATAACGTCCGTTATATTATTATTCGCAAATTAACTCGCATTTCAAAGGTTTACTATATTATAAGTTTTAAGTTACAACATACGTGTATGAAATATAAATCCGACATGAGGAAATCTGTAGCTCCTCGGACAGAAATGAATAGAAATTCTTTTTCCGTGGTGCGTGCATTATCCGCTATTAAATACACCCCTGAGCAACACGGTTTTATTGTTTAAATGTATATTATACGTACACGATTTTTTCAATTAATAAATTATTTTAAAAACGTATATTGTATAATATTTTGAATTCTGAGCGAAACAAGGAATGTATTCGTTTTTTTTTTTTTTAATCTGTAAACCACTTTTTGAAAAGGAATTTTATTTGGGTAGTATCTTAGGCATGTAGTTTTTTTATTTTCCAAGTGGTTTTCATAAATAAATGAGGTTTTCCCCATTTACATAGGAAAACGAGAAAATTTACGAAATATATTATTTTCAATTTTGTGGTTCAGTTAGAAATATTCGTAAAAGCTTGAAATTTTAACAAAAAAAAAAAAAATGATGCATGCCTTGTCTATACGTGGTAAAATTTTCAAAACATTTTAGCCATTTTTGAGCTATTTGTAGACATTTAAATTTTGCCAGTTTTTACGTGAATTTAATACCAAACAGAAATGTTTGACAGTTTAACATAATGTTCATTATAAGTCGTTGGTAAAAAAAAAAAAAACAGCGTAATGGAGAATATTTTTTTTTTTAATAAGAATTTTGATATAAAATTTTAACGAAAATCGTAATTATTATGACTAAAGACTAGATATATTGATCGATGCATGCTATTGATGTTGCAAAATGTTTTGTAATAAAGATAAATTAGATCTGATTAAATATATAGCCGATATGTACTACAAATATTCGGCCTATTTAATTTTATAATGCAATTTTTTTTTCAATTTTCGACGTTTTTGCAATTCTCCCACATTTTTAAATCATAGACGTTTATCGTTCGTCTGGAATTTTCTAGAAGCTTGGAGAGCCCAGCGAGTGATAAGCGTCTATATATATATGGTGGCACCATCGAGAATGCCGGGTATACCTTTACCACCCGAACCTATTATTATAATATGGGGACATGGTTGTTAACTGCTACACTTTTCTATGCAAATAATTGTGAAAAGTTTAAAAACGTAATTGAAAGTTTAAAAGATGATATCACAAATGTCGAAAAGCTGAAACAGTTTGTACAAAATAATGCAGTCAAATGTGATTTAGCATTCATAAAATTACTCTTATCCGTGTTATCCATGAATCTTAAAAATTTGGAAGAATTTAATAGTGAACTACTGAAAAGCATGGACATTTTTAGAAAAATTAAAGATATTTTAACAAATATTCCTGTTCCAAATGAGAAAAAAATTAAAGACAAATTTATGTATGTAATTAAAAAAAAAAAAATTAAAGGTATAAAACTTTAAAGTCTTATTATGAAGTCATGTCAGATAAAGTAAATGTTAATTTAGATATAACGCCTATTTCATTAAATTGTTTTAAATATGCATAAACAACTAGTGTAGACGTAGAACATAGTTTTTCTTTGTACAAACATATTTTAAGTAATAGAAGATTTAATTTTAATGAAAATACTTTAGAAATTTATCTAATTATCAATTTGAATTTAAAAAAGTGACATTTATCTAATTTTTTATATATAACTTTTGCATTTTTATAGTGCAATTTATTATTCAATTTTTCGTATTTTTTGATGCAATCATATAATTTTAATATGCAATTTTTATGTGTTTTAAATGCAATTAAATCCGATCTTTAATTATGACCTTTCAAAACACGTATAACTCAGAATCGTTTTTCGTTAGCATTTATTAATCGTTGCATTCAGATATAATAGTAGGTACATTAAATTCCCCTATATATCTTACATTTGGAATTTCTCACTTACAACAGTGGCCCACTCATCGTGCGAAATATGTCCGTTTGTTTTTTATATTGTATCCGTGTTCCGCGGTCTGTGGACAAATAATCACTTCGGAATTTTTGTGATAATTAATTGTTTTCGAACCGATTGAAATATTATATTAAGAAGCGATGCATAAAACCGAAACTCATACTTCAGTATGAACTGCTTTTTACACTCTACTTTTTTTCATTCGAATAACGAGAGATAATTAAATATCGTTTGGTTGGAAAAGTAAATATATTTTTTTTTTTCGCTGAACAATAAACTTTCTTTCGCAGACGGTCGTCGTCGTTACTGTAAGCATGTTTGCATATAGATCTGCATTATGCATACGATGATTTGCGGATTTTCCATTTTTGGTTAACTTGGTTTAATAATACGCACTATTTATTAACACAATAAACAACGGATGAGACGAACACCAAATTAAATGTGTTCGTGATGTTTTTCGTTGCTTTCAAAATTACACCTAGTGAAACTTTCGTGTCCTCCAATAATATGAACGTCGAGCCCGCGGGTTATTATCTAATATACACCGAACTCGCATTAGCTAGCCTGAGATGAGTCATCGAAGAAATCTGTAAATTATTGTTATTATTTTTTTATGGCACAATTCCTTTGAGAATTACCCTTTTTCTATGCCATAATCGTTCTTATCTACTTATTATTTACTTATTACTCAGTAATTATTCGATACTTATTATTTTATTTTATTTAAATTATCTCACTCATATATATATATATATATCTTCAGAGTTATACTATTATTCTATCAGCATATCTTAATAACTTGCTTGACTATATATATAATTATAAATTATATATTTCTCGTAATTTTATTCGTATGGATTTTCCATCGTAACTAATACAATACATGGAATTAGCGTTAATGGAAGGCTCGAGCTTTGCGTGGGTACAAACAAATAAATGGAAATTTCGAAAGAGAAACAAATTTTTATTGAATTTATCGTTTGTTCATCAATTATATCAGATTTGGCAATTAAAACATGTGTACATTTTAATAAACTCGTAATATTTTATTAAATTACCATAATTGGCGGACAGTGTACCGCGCCACCATTATATTATTATTGTAATATATTGTATATGTATATACATATATATTTGATTATAATATATTTATTATTGTTCCGGTTTGCGGTTCGGTTCAACATTTCGGGACGCGACTCGTTTGATTGTAATATTATTATAATAATTTGTATGCATTATAATTTACACAAGGCCGAGTAGTGAATTCAATAATCGTTTCCGTAAGTCGGTGATATTTTCGTATTATTTATGCCTGTTATAATGTTATGCATTCGAAGGTCAGAAAGCGCTGTGTACGGTCGACAAACAAAATAAAAACGTAAGTTACCCACGCGTATGCGACATACAAACGAATATAGATACGTATATGTTATAGTAAACCGCGGTTTACACGTTTTCTGAAAACTTCCGGAAAATACGGGGAGTTTTCGTATCGTGAAATTTCGGAATTTTCATTTCAATATCAATTTTCGTGAATATTTAAACTTTCGTACTATGTTGGATTCTGAACAAATCAAAAAATGTATCGGTTTAGTATGATGTGTATTATTGGTCTCTGCAGCGTACAAACAACTTGCGCGCCACAAATCTTACTCAAATAAAAATCTTTATGTAGGGGAACTTTCAGGTAGAATTTTTTATCTAATTTTGGTGCATTGAGCAGATTAGTTTTTGAATACACTGGGAAAAAAAAAACAATTTTCGTATACATTTTGTTGATTTCAGTGGAAACTAAAGAAAAAATACCTAGAACTAGGTAATAATACTTTGATCAGAATTTTTTTTCCCTAGCAGTGGTTTATCGTTGCGTTCCTGATATAAATTTAATTACTTTGCATATTCTCTCTTTTAACTTTTCTCTTAAAAAAGTGGCTCATCCATCAGCTGCATTAGTCTTTTAAATTCTGTGCGTAACGGGGGAGCTATTGGTTTTACAATACGGTTTATTACTTCTTCCTTTTCTTTTTTTTTTTCTTTCTTTATTCTATTCTGTGGACACGTTTTTTCCTAGTAAACTTGCTCCGGTTTTTACGTGGAGCAAATTTTCTGAAATCTCAATTTGTCTTGATTGTACTTTAGAGAGGTTATATTTTAAATAAAAGAACTTAAGTTGGAAACAACGTAGGAAAACGTACAATTTCACGATTTCATTATTTTATAAAAACACGGACGACATTTTCTACTAGAAAAAATGATTTAATCGAAAAGTCACAAGACATATTTTCTGTTGCCTTTTTGATTTACTTTCTTACGGTATCATCGTCTAAACTTTTGAGCTTTTAAAGAATTTTAATTTTTGGGAGTTTTTTTGCTGTAATTTGATTATAAATACACGTAGAAACTTGAAACTTGGTAATATTACTTATATTGGACTTACCTAGACGTGGTAATTTTTCCAAAATCATCAGACGACTTTTTTTACGATACTTCAAATTATATAGTACCGAACTGCTATTCAATTACAAGAGGAAAATTAATTTTTTTAAATGACTGTCCTGCTAAGAGGTTGGTTTCTCACTCTATCGTTTCAGTCTATCTTATACTTGATCTGTTTGTTACAAATACAACACCTAACCTAACATTACCTTGGGGTTAATATTCCGTCCATAAGTTTACGCGAAAAATTGGCAACCGCTATAACCTATAATATACCTAATACAAGTGTTAAAAAATCGATCGAAATATAAATATTATAACTATACGAAACTTCAAAAATTTGAATATCTTTATATTCTGTTGGCCTTGCCTGTTAATATAAACTAATTAGTACAAAATAATATGCGAGTTCGAAAATGGAAAAATATCTGTTTTTCTTTTTTTCTACTTGTGCAATCCGTATGCATCGTCATTATTTACCAATGTGTTTTAGTGTAAGCATACAGGTACAAATAGACAAATTTTATTGTTTACCTATTGTAAATTGGGTCGGAGTAATTATTTCGTCGGTGTCATAGCAAATATAATATAGGATTGCCAGTTCGAAAAAAAAAAAATCCCCCGTCGTGTCGACATAAATATTGCACCTCTTCCGGTAGTAAAAATCATAAAAAAAACCGAACTTGACCTAACCCGTATATATTGCTGCGTGTGCGTGCGTGCCGGGTGTACAAACCGCGATCAATTAGTATTTACGTTCGATCGTTGCGAAATATCCGATAACCGCGTTTTGTTCCACGCAGCTGTACGTGAAAATCAACGAGCTGGACAACAAGGGCGAGTCGGCGCTGGACCTGGCGCTCCGCGACCACCAGACCAGCATTGCCGAAATGCTGTGCGAGAACAAAGCGGACCTGGACACGCGGGACCGCAACGGCTACACGCTCCTGCACCTGGCCGTGCAGAGGGGTGACTCGTACGCGGCCAACTTCCTGCTGGCCCACGGCGCGTCCGTCGGGTCGGTGACGCCCGACCAGGGGGACACGGCCCTGCATCTGATCGCCAGCTCGTCGCCGCACGACGGGCGCGACGAGCCCGCGACCGCCATGACAGCCGTGGCCCGATCGCTGCTCAAGTCCGGGCTCGATCCGAATTTGCCCAACAGACAGGGATTGTGAGTATACAGTACACGTTCCCTCCGGTCCCGGGGAAAAAGGGTTCGAGCAAGGGTTGCGGCATTTTGTTTTTTCTTTATCAATTTTTCCCCTTTAATTTCCCGGTCTGAACGGCCGGCCGTTGAAAGTGCACGGATATTCAATTATACGCGTGTTATACCGAAAATCAATATACCTCGACGTACTTTTTGTGCGGCGACAAAGGCATGCCACATTTATTATGTAGCGATTTAGCCGTTTAAAACAATTCTCAACTTTTAATTCGCTTGTATTCACGACTGTACAATATAATTGACTCGAGCCCTTCTTCCTTTCAGGACCGAAGATTCACTGTTCGATTAATTAATCTGTAATTACGACATACTCTGGAATTACATCATTTCGGTGGAATGCACATTTCCAAAAACAGTGCTATTATTAATTAGATCCCATCACTTTTTGTCACTTGTTTCACTGTTAGCCTTTTACTTTTACGGCAAGACAAAATTTGGGCTCGTTTAGTCATTTCATAAATAAACATATTTTTTTAAATATTCCAAAAAATTTGAACTCGCGTGGTCCGAGATTGTATTTTGTAGTTACCAAAATATGTAATTTTTTTTTTAAATTTTAGGTGCAGTGAGCACTCACACAGACTTTAAAATGATACTTATATTAATTCAGTGTTTTCTTTTTCTCAGCACTCCTTTACATTTGGCCGTGTTAGTTCAAAATAACGATATATTAACGTTGCTGTTGGAATACGCTCAGACTGGAAAAATCGATTTAAATGCTCAAACCATTGACGATCACACTCCTTTGTATTATGCATTAATTATCAACACGCTCAAGCTCGAAAATGAAGACAGTTTCGCCAATCGTTTAGTTACTGCTGGAGCAAATTCTAATCCTGTAAGTTGTGAACATAACTATACAATTATATTAAGTATAATATTGGTATAAAAATAAAGCGAAAATGTGGTTTCTTATTATTTACGTCACTTTTTTATTTGTTTTAGATTTATAAGAAAACGTCAAATTCAATGTTGCATATTGTTGCAGATGAAAGCCTCGAAGAAGCTTCTCTTTTTATTGCGTCTCGTTGCAACAATTTAAATTACACAAACAGAATTGTAAGAAAAAAATAAAATGTGAAATTAAAAAAAAAAAAAAAAAAACTTGAAAAATTGTATTTTTGAACTTTTGTAGTTTGTAAAGAATATTATATTTAATGTAAGTTCAAAAATATTTGACTATGTTTTTAGGGAGAAAGCGCATTACATATTGCATGTAAAAGAGGATTATCTCGTCTTGTACGGCGTTTACTTGAATTCCAAGCAAACCCAAACATACAAACATTGCCGCCAGACAGTGTCATAATGAGCATGGATGATGGTCTTCAAACTTCTTATAGACTCACACCGTTACATACAGCTATAATTAACAAACAAGAAGGTGCTGTTAACGCTATGCTACATTATCACAGTGAGTTTAATTGTATATTTTTTCTCTTTAATTCCAGTTTTATATTTGTAATTAATACACTATTTCATGAATTTTAGATACAATGATGGCAGAACCCAAAGAAGGATTTAGCACCATCAATCTGAACCTACGCGATTCATTAGGAGATACACCTTTGTCGTTAGCATTAAAATCTGATATGCAGCATATAGTACCTGATCTCATTGCAGGTATATAATTAAAATAATTATCTTTTTAACCATTAATTATTTAAAATTACTCAATTAGGCGGTGCTGATATTGACATGAGAAACGGTGAAGGTTTAACACTTTTACATCAGGCAATATTAAAAGGTGATGAAAAAACGGCTTTATATTTAGTGAAACAAGGATCAAACTTTGATTTTAAGTAAGCCAAAATCTTTTAATAATTATTGAAAAATGTATATTATCTATACTTTATTTAATTACATTTATTATTTTAGAACACAAGATGATCAAACTGCTTTAGAACTCGCTACCATCAATGGCCAAAATATTGTTGTCGAAGAATTATGCAAACGCGGAGTTGATATGGCTGTGCCTTCAGCAAATAGTGACTCAATATTATGGCTTGCTTTAACTACTGGCCAAGAAGACATTGCTTCTACACTCGTCAAGTATGAAAACCAATGTTTATCAATTAAAATTTAATTAAATTGAAAATTATATTACATTATTCTATATTACATATTATATAGATATATTACATATTAAATTATATAAAATATATAACACCCTTTTAACAGGTATGGTGTGGATACAGACTCTTGGAGCGAAGGCCCTGAGGGATGTCTACAAACACTTTTACATCGAGCAATTGATGAAAATTCTGAAAATGCTGCCCGTTTCCTTATTCGAAGGTAAAACTATTCACATAAATTAATTATTAATTGAAACATTGATTTATTATCCAAAAAATATGTATACAGTGGCTGTGATATAAATAGTCCACGTAAGCCAGGACCTGGTGGTCGTGGTGGCGAAGAGTCTAAAGATCAATCGTCTCCATTGCATTTATGTTGTCATTGGGGCCTACAAAGTGTTGTTCAGACATTACTAGAACACGGAGCCAATGTTAATGCTTGGGTAAATAATTTTAAACATTCACTTTTATATCTTACTTTAAATATGTCAAAATTATGAAACTAAAATTAAAACTTAATTGACTGCTTTATCTTAATAATAATAAATAATATATAATATTAAATGTTGAATGTATAATTTTAAAAAAGAGGTTTTACTGGGGACAGATGTGGCCACTGTTGAGGGAAGTTGGGGAGATAGGATAGATGGAAATTTAATTTATATCTGTACGCAACAATTAATCATTGCTAACAAAAGTAATAGTATTGATTTTTCAACAATGTGTGTTTTCACAACAACAAAGGATGTTTATAAAATAATAAAAACTTAATAATAACAAAAATAAAAATATAAATGGTTATATCAGATTAAAAACGAGTAGCATCAAGTACAAAATTAGCTGGCATAAATAATTTAGTATTTATTCTATAGATGTAAATTTGCATACTTTAAGGAACTTGCTACACTATACTGTTTATATATGTATGAAAGAATAACAATAAGTGGAGAGAATCTCCTTGAGGAACAACCGGTCTAACTACTATTACAAATACTATCTGAGTGTTAATGTTTGTATATTACAACTTGAATTCTGTTTATTATTATTAAAGTTTAATATTAAACTGTGTTAAAATTAGGATTCTCAATAAGAAATTTTTCGTATGTATAAAAGTGATCCAAAAATAATTGTTTAATGGATTGTCTAAAAATATGCTCAGCACTGAAAATTATAATATATTCATTACCTTAAATTAGCTTCTCTTATATGTTTTCAACTTAGGAATTAAAAATGTAACTATTGGTTAAGAAATTTAGATAAAATAATAAATAATAGTGGATAAGTAATAGTTATACTCTAACTAATTTAATTTCAATGATATAACACTAGAATTATATAATAAATTAATAATGATTTGTATCAATTAATAATACCCAATAATATTATTGGTTCATAGGATGCAGAACACAAAACTCCACTACATGTGGCAATAACAAATCAGCATGCTGGCATAATAACATTATTGCTCTGTCATCCATCTATTGATCTAACCAAGAGAGATCGCACTGGTCTTACACCTTTTGCAGCCGCCCTGACATGTCGTAATGACAAAGCTGCTCGATCAATATTGGATAAGTTACCAGCAGCTGCAGAACAAGTAAACTAAAACTACATTCATCACGGCACTGAAAATCAAAAATACATAGTAAAATATTGTAATTTAATTATTCTAATTGTATTTTTAGTTTGATAATAAGGGCTGCAATTTTTTGCACATGGCAATTCAAAAAGGTGATATTGAAAGTGTCTTGTTTTTGCTGTCAGTTATCGTTGATGTAAATTCGAGAGTCCAAAATGAATTACAGACTACTCCATTACATTTAGCAGCTGCAACCGGCAATGAAATGTTGGTGCGCAGTATCATTTTAGCAGGGGCCAGGGTACAGTTGAATTCATCTTAACAACTGATTAAAATTTAACAATAATTATTATTATTATTGTATTTTAGGTAAATGATCAAGACACAATGAAAAGAACAGCATTGCATGTAGCTAGTGAAGCGGGACACGCATCAATTGTAACTGCTCTGTTAGCCAACAATGCAAATTTTGATGCATTTGATTGTGAAGGTATACACTCATAATTACTTGGGAGGGGAGGTTTTTAAAGTGAGTCATCTTACTCATACCATCATACTCATTACATTTCACAAATTATATAATCTTACAATGAGACGAGTTTTTGAATTACTGTTATCAGTATCGTCACTGATCTCATTTTATTTATATCATTTTGGTACAAAACTCACTTTAGAAATAATTTTCTTTACAATTCGAAAATTTAAAAAAATAAAAATCTGTTAGGATAACACTGTTTCTTCTGCTTAGTATGGTACATATTAAGCCCCATTCCCACAACTAACGTACTGGCCAATATTTGGTACTTGTGGTTACTTAACATATCAACATAATAGTATACTTGAACAATTATTTATCACTGATGCATTTCCTGAGAATTGTCAATAAATGTTTCACAAGTGCACTAGTATTGGTATATTTGTCAAGTTCACCAGTTGCCAAACAATCAAATTGTTCACCGCTTATTGGTCAAATGTACAATTATTGGCATATTGTGCAACCATGCCAGTTACGGTAATGCGCCATTTAAAATGGTATTTATAAAAATCGAAAGTTTATGTTTGCCTTTTCTAAACTTGGTAAAATTGTTCAAAAGATTTAAGTCATTTTTTAATTTTTTATAGACATTTTCTTTTTGTGAGTTTTGTACGTAATTTTTATTCAATAGGTACTCTGTGTTAAAATTGTTAGACTTAGTAGAACTGCTTAAAAATTTAACAGGAGGTTCATTAAAAGTCTAACTTGGTAGTCAAAAAAAGAAAATTTGAGTTTAATGTAGTATTATTTTAAAAATTTTAATATCAAATTTTTATATTTATTTTATTTTTGAACATATATATAATGCCGATTTAAGATTGATGATGAAGTTAGAATTGAGCAAACTGACTAAATTTTGAAATTATAGCTTTTTAAATTTCTGATATTATATGTTATGTTAAATAACTAAATATTGTCTTCTCTAAAGTATGTTTGTCGTTAGCTGAATGGTTATACATATCTTTTTTCATCCTAGAGTTTGCAAGTTCGAACCCATGTTTCAAAAAAAAAAATGTTTGCATTTTTTTCCTCCTTTTACCTAAACAAGGAAAAAATAAATGCATATCTATGCATATAAAGACCCAAGTCATTGCTCACTTGGACTATTTTAATCGCAAAATGCCCCTCGATTTGTTGTGCAAACTTTTTTACCAAAAATCTTGATCCGATGTATCAAGTGTAGCTTATTTTCTAAAAGTAAATTTAATCTCCATGGTAACTTGGAGAGGTATTTTGTTGATTTTCCCAAGAGTTTTCTCAATATATGGAAAAATCGCAAAATACAGAAAAATGTACAAAATTCATTAGTAAAATATTACAATTTTTTTTCTGTTGATAACTTTTTTACCACCATTTTTTCTCTGATTTACAATGATAACACATTTACAAAAAATCTGACTGGGAGGTAATTTTTTTCGATTTTCCAAAAAATTTTCCCAGCAAATGTAAAAAAACGGGAAAATCAGTACACTATTAAACGAATATTGTTACTGAAAATATATAATGACCATTTAATTATTTGACCATAATATGACATATATTTATTGTTGACAAAGCATCACCATCAACTGAACTGTGCTCAGAATTGTTTTTTGTTAGCAATGGTTTATCGTTACTTACAGATATAAACTAAATTACCTATAACAGTGGCTGCACCCGATTCCATTATCCTAGGATGTTTTTTTTTTATATGTAATTATTATTAAACTTTTATATTTTAATTTTTACTGTATTATTACTAAATTAATTTTACAAAAATAGGATAAGTCTTTGATAATATTCTCATTTAGGTCAAAATGCGTTGCACATTGCATGTCGTGAGGGTCATCTGCAAGTAGTTCAGACATTATTGGGTGAATCCCAGATTAATGCTGAAGCATTAACACTTAAGTGCCGTAATCCACTTCATGAATTGGCTAAACACAGTAAGGAAACTGCTGCTGCTATATGCGAAGTTTTTTTGGAGTATATGCCAAAATATCCTCTTGAAGTTCAAGATAGCGAGGGCAATACAGGTGTGTACCAATGAGTATTAAAAACAATTTTTCAACATTGGTGTAACATCGATTTTTACAGCATTACTGTTGGCGTACATGAAAGGCAACGGTAATCTGTGCCGAACATTAGTAAAAGCTGGGGCTTGTGTCGGAGCTATGAATAATGAAGGAATTACCATATTCAACTGCCAAATGGCAACCACTCAATTGTTGTCTAGGTAAACAATAGCTGCTGTATTTTGTTCGTTTTATTTAATCAAAATTTAATATAATCACATATTTTGTATTAGGTTGCTTGATGGTCTAACAAAAGAACCTCCGTGGGTCGATGGATGTGAAGTGTGTCAGGAGTGTGGTTTGAAATTTGGTTTTACTATGCGTAAACATCACTGGTGGGTAACAAAAAATTGGTAAATTTATATTTCATTTATAAATTTAAATTGTTTTCCCTTAGTCGTCACTGTGGTAGACTACTTTGTAGTAAATGCTCCAATCAAGAAGTTCCTATTATTAAGTATGGGCTAATAAAACCAGTGCGGGTGTGCATGTCTTGTTTTCAAGTTCTACAAGGAGGCTAAAAATATTTAAAAAAAATCCAATTGTTAACTAACCACACTGCAAATTTTTTCCGATATCTATTTCTTTTGATACTCTCTTGAGTGTTACCAAATGTTAATTTCAATATATATTTTCTAAATTTATATTTATCAATTATTATTATATATACACATTCATTTATTCCATAATCCGGTTAAATTTTTATGTTTAGTTTAATTTTATTTATTACTTTTCTAACCTTTTATCATATATGTTTGTTATTCTTAATCGCATATTATAATAATTGTATTAATCTTTATTTAAATATTTAATTTGATTATTTTTGTACAATTAAATATTATTATATCTGCTATATTATAGTGTTAGTTGTATAAAACAATGTGAACTGATTACTGTAATAAGATGTGGTATTTTTCATTCCGCCTTCATTACTTCACTGTTTACAAACAAAATTCGTAAACAAAATTTTTGTTTATTTTTAGCGTTACCTTACTAATTATTTCTACTTGAACGAAAGAATGGTACAAAACTACAAATCTTTGAGTACATAATGATATTTTCAAAAACTATTTATTGCCCTATCGTCGACTCAACTAAATTGTGTATTTTTTTTAGAATTTATTGTCTAGTAATACATTATTATCTTTTTCTTTTTGTATTGCCCGTTTTCAACCTTGTATGATGAAATAAGTGATAACTGATAATCACTATTAATGATTGCTAAGTGCTTATGATTATTTGAGGAATAAAATTGTAACTAGGTACCTAATCATATAACCCGATTAATTTAATAATAATAATAACAAAAATAATAAAAAAAAAACAATTTTGTATTTTATGGATTGTGGTGTAGTGGATTATAGAGTTATTTTGTAAAATTAGTGTAGTAGGTTAGGCTGCCCAGGGATTGAGTTAAAGTCAAACATTGCAAGGTATGTAACTTTTTTTATGTCTTATAATAGCCCTCCCTCTTTTATTTTTTATTTTCAAGCAATGATTTTAATTATATCAAAAAATGGATTTTGTATCTCCTTGCATTACCATGGAAGTACCTACTTAAGTACCACTAATGAATTGAATATTATTACATCAATACATAATGTATTATTAACATTCAATATGGATATAATATCAATTTATAGTTTATTTTTCAAGTAATATGTGAATGATCATTTTCAATTCTAAAATATATAAAATCATACCTGAAAAATACTTTTAAATTTGACATTTATGTAATTATACCTAATTTAAATACTAATATACTTAGGCAAGTAATATATTAAACTATACTTATGATATATGATAGAAAATTAACAACATTGTCAGACATGTTATACTTTGTATGGGTATTTTTAGCACAAACTTAAATCTAATCTCATATTATGTTCCTATGTCAAATCTCCAAGATTATAATACTATTATTTAACTTGGTATAATTTAATCATTGAGAGCAAATTGTTTTATTTTTAGCGTATATTTTAACGCTGTTACTACACCAGATTTAAAATATATTAGCCAGTGACAAATTTCAAATTGGTATTGCAATTTTTAAAGACAGTCTATTATTATTGCTCGTTTTATTTATATTGTATACATATAATATAGATATATTATTAGAATGTGAAATCTGGCGGATAAGCCATTCGGCCCGTTCAGGTATGTTGGAATTTGATGTTTTTATTATCTTGTTTAAAAATCATAAGTTCATTTTTAAAATTGAAATATAAATTAATAAAATTGTATTAAGTTATCAAATGTTTAGTATTCACTATACATTATTATAAATATTTTATTATCAGTAAATTTTTAAATTAGAAATATTATTAAGTGCATGGCATTAAATGACACCTTGTTGTCCCTGTCATTCAATTTTTCATCTCTCCAATATTATTTAAATAATTTCGAATATTTCTATATCTACCTATATTCACTGGTCCACCTGAATAAGTTTTTGCAATGGCGGAAATTTAACTATTATTGTTTCTGAAATATGTTTATATTTTGTTTACTTATTTTTACTGTGAATCACTTTTTGATCAAAAGTCTTGTTCCGAGTTAAAATGTTATTTATTCGTCGGTGCATTGAGATCGGTTTTTGTTGGTTTTAACATTTTTGGGGAAAAACGGGAAAGTTTACGGCGAGTTTTCTCATCTCGATTTTGTTTTATACTATAACTGGGTTTAAAATATACGCACCTATTACCAATACCTATTCTTATCTAAACAATTTTTTTAAACTATTCTGGCGATTTTTCGGTTATTTATTTATTTGAACATTTTTAGTTATTTTTATTTTTATTTGGTTTTTTGTCGATAAAATAGTTTTTACCGAGCACAAGTGTTTGAAAATCTAACACCTGTCAGTTCATCATAAGTTTTACCTATATACTCTGTGGTATAAAAAAAATTCGAGCTTAATCCTTAATGTACCTAATAGTGTTTTTTTTTTTTTTTAATAAACTTCTCGAATTTCAAATTTTAACGAAAAATCGTAAAAATCGCATTTCGTTAGCTATGATTTATCGTTACGTAGGAACAGATAATAATATTAACTGTACATAGTTTATAGGTCTCCAACGTCCCACCTATACAACAGCTAGTGGTACGCCCATCGACGGTATCGGCTCGTTATTTTTAATGCAGGTTTTTGACGAGGATATAACGGTTCAGTCGATATTTTTACAAGAATATCCGAATCGGTGCACATTACCTAGATGAATGTTTAAGTTGAAAATATTATGTTTAACGTACAATTATACCCCTACGTCAGTCACACAAAATCGCCCGCGAAACTGCGAAATTCGCACGCAAATACGATAATATTTGCAGTCCGTTCGTGTTGGTTGGGGCCCACTCAAAACGATTTCTTTCCGTTTTACGATTATATCATGTCGGAAAATACACCGCCAAAGGCGTTTATAACAATATACCTACGCGTGATGCTGGTGAACCTGTATTGTAGGTAGGTAAATGCATATTATAAATTTACGTCCTAGTCAACCCGACCTCTAACTCGACGACTTCTTTCTCTTCTCCACTATGACTATGATGTCTATGGTTAGTGTGACCAGACGTCCCGATTTCGGCGGGACATTGCCGCTTTTTAAGCAGGTATCCCGCTAAATACCGTGATCAAGTCGGGGCAGTAATATAAATATAAATAACTCTTTTGTTGTCACCCTCACTTTGAATTAATGCAATATATATATATTACATTTACCAATGACGGATAACTATAATGACAATAAAATGACACTGTTACTGTTATTATTATTATTTCCGTGCAACGAATAGGTATTATACGTTTTAAATACGCAATTTTAATTACTTAAAATTAGTTGAATTAGAATTAATAACATTGATGCATTTTTTACATTAACGGCTTCGCTTATATTAATTGCTAAGGTGAATCATTCCGTACTGCATGTTCCGCACCACTATTATACATAAATAATATACCTATCCGTATTGCCTTCCACGGTGAACAGCTTTTGACGCAGCGCGATGAACAAATTGCAATAAATAATCATGTAAAATCCGTATACACACGTAGGTACACTGTAATGTGTATGGTTCAAGTGTATTAAATTAAATATGTAGTATGGAGTAACACTTTTATAATCTGGACTGGAGAACCTCTAGTCATAGTTAGTATAAAATATACTTAAATTTAAAGTTGGAATATATTTGATTTTAATCTTTGTTTAACTCTTATTAGATGATAGATAGTAAATTGTGACAAAAAACAATCTGAATTGATAACACGTGCGCGTTTTGCAGTTAGACGATTAGCAAAAACCGCACAAAAGGCAAAATTAATATGAATCATTTTATTGCGACGAAAGAAATAATAATTCATTTATAGGTACATTTTTTTTTTTAACAGATTATTAACATTTTTATCACATTGTAAGCTGGGTTGATAACCAGATGGGTTTTTTTTTTTAATACGGCGACAGACTGCCAGTTTTTCATCAAATCGACTCAATAAGACGACCTGTTTTGTTTTTTTTTTTTATCGACTCGAGCAATACATAAAATTACATAACTAATGAAAATACAGCGCGCGACGAGAGCTCCATGACCGACTGTTGATTAACCGGTATGAACATAGGGACACTAATATTATTAAAATTAAAAAACGAATATTAAAATTGATATTAAATTATTTAATGGAGGACGTCCAGAGCCGTCGCCTTTATCTCGGAAATAGCTGCGGGCCTACCTTGGCATATGTATCGATTAGGCGATCCGCAATATCTAAAATCTATGATCACTCATCAAATGTATGTGATGAGAGGGTACAAGGTCCGGACTCTTCATATTTTTCTTTTGATATAAAAAATGTTTATACGTTATATTTAAGATTATTAAATTCTTACACGGATTTTGTTTTTGAATCTATTCCAGCCTTGTCCTTTACACAGTACATGTTTTACCGGCGATATAAAAAATAATAGTTTGTGACTAATAGTAAATACTCTGGAAAATAAAGAAGATACTCTTAATTTATGCTTAAAATTTAATTTTTTTTTTCTCTCATGTCCTTTAGTTTCGGCGGCCCTTAAATATTTTCAATATCCCCGTTCGGTTAAAAATGTTAAAACGACGCGGTTGATATTATATTCGGTCTACGGCGTTCAGCGGCATGCCGTAAGCTGCTCCCTATCTTAACTATACATATACAAACGAAACTAATTTTTAATACGTAAAACGAATAAATTCTTTTTCTTTTTTTTCCGTTAATTAGGAATTCTGCGCATACTGCGTATAATGTACGCATTATAATTTGCGATCCGACCCCGTGCCGAGCCCTCGATTTCTGTATACATATGTAAAAAACAAAAAAAAAACAAAATTATACGCCTACGCATTGTTTCCGATAAACTCGCGCGCATCAGTATACATACACTATGCAGTGTCCGGCGTGAACGTATATTTTTTGGTATGTGGTTGTTAATTTTTCCACCGTCCACCTATACTATTACAGTAAACCTCTCCACCACCATTCGTCAGACAACTATAAAACATCAACAAATTGATAAATTATTTTTTTACTAGACAAAAAAAATGCATTTTAATATCATAATGTTACAATATGCCTATTATCAGTTAATTATATAATAAAGATTTTTCCGAAGACAATGGGCGAATAGGTACCCCGGATTCTTTTATCGCCTCACCAAAGTCAATTCCGATGCCACGATGTTCACAAAACAGCAGCAATAAACTTTCAAGTCGATGGTCGGACATGGTTGAGAGGTTACTTACTATGACATACTTAAGAAAAACTAACAAAATAAGTTTGGATTTATAGTCCCCGTAAAAATGATTTCTTAATTAGGTAAACAACATTTATTAAATTACAAATAGGTGTATTATTGTTTTTAAACAAAAACTATAGATTTTCTGTTACTGAACGTGAGATTACTACATTAGTTTGTTTTTTATCTATAGACATCTTTTCTACCAAAAAATTAGCCCCGATTTTCAATCGCAGCACGTTTTCTGAAAGGAAATCTGACTGGGGTGGTAGTTTAACGAGGTTGTTTTTTGAATTTCCTTGCTCTCATGAATGCAACAATTCCATGCAAGCAGTGTTGAATTCAGAAAATTTCTCTGGGGAGGGCTCACTTTTTTTTCATTGGTCATTCGATGTAAATTAGAAAAAATAACGAGTACTGTACATTTAAAAAATACATTTTGTTGTATTTGTCAGGGGAGGGGGCGAATGAAATTCTAGAGCGAGCATTTGCCTCCCTCCCTCCTGGAGTATACCTGCATTCAACTCTGCATGAAAATCACTAAACAATCTTTTTATGTCAGTAGATGCATTTAATAATGTGTCAAAAATTACTAAATTCAATAGAGCCAATATGAGCAAAATTATTCGTAAAGACTTGAAACTGATAGAAAATCAATTTAGCCATGTTGGGGAGCTGCCATCCAAAACCTAATCCGTCCAATAACTTAGTTTGGGGTAACTTATAAATTCCGGAAATAAACTTCCATTTACTTACAATTAAAGGGTTATAACTTACAATCTTCCCGGAACGATTCGGTAAGGGGAGGGGGGACAACTCCACAGACATTTGAGCAGATAATTATATGAAAAAAAAAAAGTCGAATGATCTGTTGAGGACTTTGGAACGACAGTTTTTCTGATAGACGTATACTATGTATCGTTGTTTGTGATATGGAAAATAAACAAAAATAAAAAATTGCGCATCGGCTTTATCAAAATACTGAATTACCATTGGCGATCCTAAGAATTTTCTATTTCAAGGGAGTGGGAAGAGGCGTAATAAATGTCGATAAAATAAAATAAAATTATTTTGAGTTAACTTTAGTTTGTGTAGCGTTAGAAAATGGTATTTAATAAGTTAAAGTCGTTAGAGGAAGGACCATTTAAACCCTTCTATCGTTTTTGCTTTTTTTAAAAATATTTTTCAAATGATTCTTTGACGTTTTTAAACAGTTTTTTGTGGATTTTAAGTTCAATAAGTTCCGAGCCGTAGTTATGAGTATTTATTTAATTTAGGAATCTATAATATATTATTTCGACCGTACTACACGTAGAAAAGAATCCGGATTTAAATTTCCACTGTCGTGTCGGACAAAGAAGAGCGTTTTACGATTAATATTATCATCGTCCCTTTCAGTTGAAAATTCCTAGACACGCCACTATTCGCATATATAGGTTGATTTTCACGGAGGATTTTAAATGAATTTAATTTTTTTGTTTTCGTTCGTTTTTTCATTTTGAAATTGTTTAAACTTTATATTTTAATACTGCTTTCACATTTTCACTTCTACTTTTTATATGAAATCTTAAAAGAGTAATTTGATTTTTGATTTTTAACGGTGACTGCCGTTTTTTAATACATATTCGACAAAATAATACTTTTTTTAGCATTTTTATGATACCGAATACTAATAAATGTTTGATTTACCTTATAAATTATAACGGTTTAAAGTTTAGTCCGGAGGCGTATATTAGAGAAGTGTATTAATAAATTAATTATAATTAAAATGATACTCGGGGAATCATGATAAAATAATCATCTGTACAGGTGGTCTGATTTAATTTAATAGACATTCTTTAGTGTCTACACCGATTTAAACTTTGGTAAAGACAGTACGTACACTTAATTTTTTGATGGGTACACTAATTTCAAAACGTCCCTCATAATTTGCTAGAACTGAGCGTCGGATCGCGCGAATGTTGACAAAATCACCCAAAAAGGAAAATAAACTTTGAACGTCTTGAAGTTGTAATTCCACCCGGATTTCGCCCAGAAGTCAAAATTATATACAGTATTAAAATTTCCCTATATCTCTATGATAAATATTTTACTGCGGCAGGAACTAGCGAGTCAAAATCGTGTCACCTGTATTCGTACACTTTTAAATTAAATGTGTTTGACTATAGGTAACTTAATATATATATGTAAATTAAATGTTTTTAAATGTTTTAAGTGGTTTATCTTCTTCCCGTCACGCGTTGGTTCTGTTTTGCTCAATTTGTGGGTCTGTTGAGGACCATAAATAGTATCGTGAGCTTCTCCATCTCGGTGTGCTGTACGCTAAGTCAAATGTTGTTTGAAATGTCGATTGTATTCTATATCATGAGCAATATAATATCTACCCAATGGGTCGTCAATCTTCTCAATAATAGTTATCTGTTTATTTTATTTATCAATACATTTTTTAAGAACTTACAAACAGCTCTTCTTTACAGTGACGCCGGAGTCTTAAAAATATAGCCGGGTGAAGTACAATTCGAGCGGTCCCAATATCTCGTACGGCCCGTTTTGTTGAACAATCGAATTGATTGAAGTCGGTGTCGTTAATTCGAGATGATTTGCGTTCACAAAAATTATTGTTCATTATTGTATGATTTGAACATTTGTCCGCATTACAGGGCCCTCTGTGCACGAGTCCGACTGATCGGTTTTCTCTGATGATGGACTCGGGGTAATACATATATCTCTGCGCTCCTCCTTAATCGAATTCCGACTGCCCGGTACAGATTTCGCCATCGTTAACCACAGCGGTCTCCCAAGAGGTCTCCTCCATACTGGGTTTTCCTCAATCACCTTTCTTACCAACAAACCATGCTTGCTCAAACGTGTATTTTTTAAATTTCTTTCAGTGTATTTGGAAAAAGGATTGCAGTTTGCCGTAACATAATTTCCTCCATTTATTTGTCTGGGCATTAAAGTATGTCCCGTACATTTTTCTGCGAACTTTTAGCTGACACTGACATCTTTTGCTTTTCGGTTTCTCAAAGGTTACGTTTCTGCTCCAAAAGGGCAATCGGTCTTAATAAGGTTCAGTAATACACCTAATATGAATATTAATATAATTACGATGGTATAATAATTATATTGATATTTATATTCTAGAGAACTGCGGACATCGCGGTGATCGTTCGCTGATTCCCGAGATGAATTTCTCCGGCGAACTCAGACGAGGAAACCCACTCACGGTTTCAACTGTTCGGAGATACACGAACGCTCAGACCAGACGATGACGCTCCCGGAATGTTACTATTGAAATAATTATGCATCAGATGTGGACAGATTTGATTTTTCCGACGTCTCGCCCAATGTGATCGACTGACGAGTTTACACTCGTACCGTATAATCACGTTATTTTTAATTTTCCGTTCTTTTCCTGCGAGTTTTATTTAAATTGTTCAAACAACAATTGTAACATTCGTCAAACACCGTATTTAGTCGTTATTAAATTCCATTTTGTATAAAATGAACTAACAAATATTTACTCGCCTCAACATTTCGCGTGGGTTGTTGAAAATACATCGGTATTATATTATATTATTATATTGTATAATGTATATTTAATAAGTTTTCGAAGTGAACAAAAATACCTATCACGTCTGTAATTCTTTGCGCTTATGGATTTGATTTTCTTGTTGGAAAAAATATTTTCTCCATAAAGCTGTAAGGTAGGGCTGGCTGTCCGTCATTCTACCGTTCTTTTCATTTGCCCGTAAATGAAAATAATTTTACAAATTTTTCTAATTACAGCGCAGATTTATTAATATTAATATACCTATTATATGCGGAACCCCGTGGCTGAAAGCGCAATTTTATTTTGAACAACACTATTACATTAAAATACGGAGTGGTTCGTCTAACGCAAGGTCGGGAACCTTTTCGTGTAAATGAGCCACATGATTTTCAAAGAGTTTTCCACAATTGCTAAGATAAAAAAAAAAAAAAACATTCCATAGTACAAAAACGAGCACACCTGCAATGCTTGTTACCCACCGTTACATTAAAATTAAAAGTATACTATTTGATAAAATAATGTTAACCGGTCTCGGTTTTAAAGAAATTCTTTTGCCACTATAACCTGCGGGCTGCGGTGCACTAGAACCTATAGAAATAACGCGTTTTATAAGTACACGTGGTGTTTTGTCGCACTTTTAAGTTTTAATTTACATATTTATTACCAAAAGGATTCTTTTTTATCATTATTATTAATGTCCGTTAAGGTTATATGGGTTATCGCACGCCGTATAAACCACGCGCCGTTGTTTATAACAATATAATTTCAATCGCAATATAATGAGTATAAAAACCAGTCAAAGTCAAAGTCAACAACAATATTAATATTATCATAATAAATAATAGTCATCATTATTATCATATTACGATGTATGTGACATTTATTATTGTTTTTCTGTTAAGCATTGATAACAGTAACGTAGGTACCTAACCTTATCACTGGGGGTTCTGGGTGTCCAACGCCAATATGTGTGTGACTTTTTTTTTTTTATTAATCAAACAAAACAATTACATTTAACAAAATCGTATATTAAATAGATTTTATGATTCATAAATATAGCATGTGTTGAAGATAAAAGAGTTATAAAATTAAGCGAATGCATACAAATCAACTAAAATAAACGAACATAGTTAATCGTATGGCTTCACAAAAAATACATTAAATTGTAAACAATTAAACTATTATAACTGATAACTTTTTACAACATTAATATATAAATAGTAAATTTGTTTGCATATTTGTGCGTTACACAAAATACATTTTTTGAATTTAAAATGGAGTTGTAACAAATAGAACTCAGATAGTCCAGGAATCGTTGACCAAACGATTTATTCGTTTAGGCTGCTGTAACACTATAGGCCCAGTCCTATTTTTCAAGTCCCCCGTGTTAATATTAAAATTATTTATATTTTTTACAGCCCATTATACAGCAAATTGTTTGTAAATTAATTTAACTGGCAATGCTTTAAATTGTTGGTGATTATGTATTGTTAGGCTATGTTCACCATTAAAAATTTAATTTATTTTATTTTGTTCTAGTTAAAGTGGTTTAATCGTATTTTTAGTTGTGCCACTTCAAATCCTAAAGGGGCCCATACACGCTCAGTTTATTTGTCAGTTTAGCTGAATCCTCGCCTGATGAAAAAACTGAACTGAACGAGCGTAGCCATAGCTCAGTTTATCGTAAATTTTCGTACAGTTAATTGATGTTTCGTCTGATTGAACTGCACAGTTATCACAGTTAATCGTTCAGTCTTTAATTCGCACAGTTAAACTGATAGATAAACTGAGCGTGTATGGGCCCCTTAATACCATATTGAAATATTACCTGATTGAAATGAAATGTATATACGGATGTTGTCTTTTGGCAAAATCGACAGTAACTTATAAAATTATGTACAAATACGAGGGGGGGTTTTATTGAACAGTTTATATTTTAAAGTTTATCTAAAATGTTTATTCTTAGCATTTTAATTATTTATTATTATTTTTTTTTTTTTTTTGCATATATTTGTGATATTATATTTTACTATGCTTTCACAAAAGTGAATAGTTTTTCATTTAAGGCATATGTGTGCTATTTTTAGAGAAAGTCGTGTAAAAAGTATTTATAAAGTGACAAATTATTATTCGCTAGTAGAATTTTGTTCAGCTCAAACGTTGCTTTATTTGTATGAACCGATACCCATTACCCATAGCTTATCAGAAAAAAACAGTCATGTACATTCCGCACACACAACTATATTTGTCATATTTTTATACTTTTTGTTATATTGTTATACGCACCTATGACAATTTTGGATCAAATATGGTCAAAGGCGACCACTTTTAGAATTGACTCAATGGATTGGCAATTTTATGGATGGTTCGTAAAGGGTGTAAATGACATTTTTCGAAATGGATTAGCTCTGAACAATCCGGGAAAATTGATCTGCTGTTATGACATTTTTTATCAAAATAAAATATGTATACACAGTAGGGTGTTCCTTAATTTTCAACTTAAAAATATTTTTGGTTACAACCCCTATACATGTGTGTATATGTATACAAATGAACTGAACAAATGTTTAGGCCAAACAGATAAAGTTAACCCGTGCTGATATGAACTTGAAGTTTGAACTTAATACATTTTTCATTAATAACGAAAATATTGAACATTTTCGTAAATATTTCGTAACTGTTAGAAATATCTACATTTGTATGCAATATGTTTTAAAGTAAATTAAAGTCTGTAACTTTTGTAGAAATATATTTTTTCATACCGTTTATACCATTCATGAAGAACATTGATTCAACTGTAAAAAAACACGATATTCTGGGTAAACAGTAACGAATGGTTATTAATCAACAATATTATTGGTTAATTAACGGATATAGTTGTAGTCCAGGGGCGCCAAAACACTAAATACGGCCCCGGTTGATTGCTTTATAACGTCGTATAAATCTATTTAAAATTATATTTATATCCTGTAAAATACATTTTTATCATTATAAAAAAAAAAAAAAAAAACTAAAGTAGCTTGTAGAACATATTATTATATATTAAATCCTATATACTTAACCTATCTAAAGTCCGGCCAGTTTTGGTGTGTGATAAAATTAATTAAACAGTTATAAACTATTATTTTCATTAAAAAAAAAAAAAAAAAAAAAATTTATATATACATATCATTTGTACGTGTGTTCTCGTGACACAATAATTAGGCCGCTCATTGATGAGTTTAACAGACGTTTTACGTACATGGCGACCGGTGGCGCCAAAGATATATTGTTCAGGTGTAGCAAGACACAATTTTACCCATCCGCCCGCCATCTCCCTGACTCAAAATTATATTGTTCAATAAGCTGTATCATATTTGAATTGATAATATTGAGTAAATATTAAGGTACCTATACAAATATAATCTGTGTCTTGTGTACACATGTATGTATACGTTTAAAGTTAATTATTTTATGTTATTATACCTACCAACCCTTTGTATTCAAAGTGCAGCGGCCGCTACACCTAGCAATCGGGACGGACGCCGCTGTGTACGACGGCAAAGTGTTCCGAACAATGGATTTTTCGGAAGCGATTCGTTTGTACCTATAATAGCAATATAATTTCTACGTACATCCGATACCCGGATATATTATTTCGACTCTGTCTCTGTCCGAACAATACAAGTTTCCCGGAACACCGTTGTCGACATGCCCGTATTATTATTTCTCTAGCCGATAGCTCATACGCGTTCTCGTACCCTCGCGGCAATTCATAGGTGACGACGGAATCGTAAATTGTCCGACCTTATGTGGCGCAGATATACCCAATATAAAATAATACACGTATATCGAATGGCGAAACGTCCGACGGTATATGTTTTAAAACTGCGCGTACACAGGGTATGACTTTTAAAACGGATCGACAATAGTAACGTGTCAACACGCATGTGCACTATTATATGTGTTATACGAGTCGTACACAATTTTTACGGTATTTTAATGGTAGGTGCAGAACATAATATTGTATTTTATCGTTACCGAGTGCACCGTTCGTGACAGGTAAAAAAAAAAATCAGACAAAATCTGGCGAATCGAGAAAATCTCCCGACGTGTTATGTGTCCGTGTTATATATAGGTATATTCCGTCACAACAATATAACAGTATTATGCTGCGTAGAAAATAGTAAAAAGTAACGTACAGAATTGTCAACAGGTCGTTTTTTTCAAAGTAGGAAATTTAATCTCACGAAGCGCTCAACCAACCTACAATGTATTCCCGCATTCATCAATGCATTTTTCGCAATATTACACACTGTTCGATATATTTTTATGTAAAAAAAGGTTGAACCCTATTTGTACCTTTTAGGACAATACATTCGTTGTCCTGCAAACGATAGGTAAAGTTTCTCATTTAAAATACACCGGCGATTTCGTTTATTTTGAATTTTAAGCATAAAAAGTCGACGAAAAAAACAATGTATTTTCTATGAGAAAATGATCAAAGTAAAGGTACTGTTTGACAGGGAAAAACCTAAAATTTGATCAAAATATCCGGAAATTCTATGATTCGTATGGGTCGTTCTGTATGAACTGTTAAACATTTCAATCGACATTATAATATAATATATAAACGCATGGGCTATGTTTGCTTTCTGTATATGACTTCAATACAATGGATTTTTTCTTTTAAATACTTTGACTTGTTTACGTTTTATCACTATTATATTTTTACGCATCCGGTGTCCGGTCTATTGCCGTGTACTTAATTGTCATTAACGATCCATGGACTGCTGGTAAGTTTTTCAAAAATTATATTACGCATAAAAACACTATTATTTTGGAAAAAAGAAAATTTAATTTCCTTTTTTTATTGTATAATTGGTGTAAAACGTAAACGAATAACAACGTCGATGATTAACGTCTATTGAACATTATAATTAAGCGTGTACAGTTTTTTTTGATATTTCTGTTCAATACTATACATGCATAACTGAAGAGTAGACACATCATCAATTACGGATTTACCTGA